GAAACACAATAAATCACTCTTATTGATCCATGAAATACCATTGAAGCAATTTAAAGATTATGGCAGACTAACTCGATCTTTGTCTGTCTTATAGGTAGGGAACAAATTACACACATTAACACTAATCGGAACCTGATGCTGCATTGTCTAATTTAATAGCAATTAATATTGCATTTGAATCATTTAAGGGATTAGATAAATTGGCAGTCCCCAGTACATCACTCTTGAGATTGCTAGCAACATATTTTATTGGCAAAATAAACAGAACTTAATTTCTTAATTAACAGATGGAAGGCAGTGTTTCTTATTTAATGCAATCAGTAATAGAATTAATGCTTATAGCTCAAGGCTAATAATGAGCCCACGTGGAGAAGATGTGTGTAAATGTACACAATGTCTAAACAGAGATTCTCCTCTATTCTGTGCTGCATCACATTTTCTGCAATAAATCATTAAGAGCAAATATTGGGCAAATATTTTAAAATTGAACAATCACTGCGTCGGTTTCCATGGTTACTGATCCATTTCTAAATCCGTGTGCACAATTGCCCTTTATGAATTATGTCTGTTGTCACTGAGCTCAATTAATCGAGATATTAAATGGAAATGCGATTAGATGCAGAGATTTTGATACTAAAACTGAATAGGATAGTACCTCCCTCAAGTAAGTTAATTAGTTTTGTAAATTAATGTATCGGAGTGTGTTTTTACTGCTAGGATGAAAATGATTTAAACTGTTAGTTTAGTAAATTTCACTAAAAAATAAAGAATTTGGGGAGCAGATTTTGGGACCCTTTTGTTGTATATTTGTGGTATGTTGGATAACCAGTAGATACATGACTGTTAAATATCACTATATGACCTGCAAGTGATCATTTTAAATATGGATCTATTTATTAAACTGAGGCAGAGTTTAGCTGGGTTATTAAGAGCAATTTGATAGTTTATTAATAAATACATTTGTTTCTCAGACCGATCTTTCATTAGCTAAATCACAACGTGCTGTTTGAAAGACCTGTAGGCATCATTGTACTTTTTAATTCAAAATATATTACTTGGTTGTTTTGTTATTAATACATGCGATTACATTCAAAATTAATTGATTCTGTTACTTTATTGCAGAATGTCTGTGTTTCATTTTAACTCGTCCATGACCACATTTTAAGAAACTCCTTATTGTACCAATCCTAACATGCACTCAGTCCTGAAGGGGTTAATGACCTCTAATTCTCCCTCTTCATTTAAAGGCGCATAATGCAGCATTTTTAAATAAATGTCCCCACTTTTATAGTAATTTAATCTCTAATTATCCTTGTGCCTTAACGGAGTCGGGATCTAAAAGAAGCAAAATATGTTGTTTATTTAATTTTTTATGTATTTTTCTTCTTGTTTCACCTTAAGTAACCTCACACGATTCCTTGTCAGCCTCCCAGCCAAGTGCCAAGAAAATTACATGTATATATATTTGCATACGGATGTGAAATGTGTATATTGGGTATATGTCAAAGCAAAGGAATTATATCCTCAACAGTCCGAGAAAGATTTGTATAATACAAGGGAGAGATGGGGAATGGTTCTTATTCAGATGCATGAGAGAACTTCAAATTCGAATCCTAATTTTTTCCCAAATAGCAATTCTCTCACAGTCCACAATGATTTACTTCTTAAAATATTTACTCACCATTTCTAAAGACATAAATACATAGAACTTATCGAGTTATATAAAAGATTCATTAACAAAAAAAATACGTGTCACATAATTGAGAATTTAAAATAAATGTGTTCTGTGTTATGTTTTTAATTTAATATTAATGCTGTTTTATTATTATTATTATTATTATTATTACTACTACTACTACTCCAGAAACACACATACACACACATGCATTTAGTTTACACTGTAACAAATAAATCTTACATTTGGCTAATTAATAAATAACCCTTAATCTCAACGGATTTATTCATGTTTGGAATAATATATTAAGTATTGCAATTTCTATTTAATTAGACCACCCTGAATTTTGCATTACATTGTTTTGTATGTATACAAGCTGCCCAGATAACATACTTATTAAATGAAAATAACTAGCTACATAGGGATTATTTGTATTGCATGTGATACTTGTATCCATTGCGTTGTATTTCATGAGTTATTAACATTGTAGCACTTTTTCTTCTAAACTCAGAGAGAAGAATTCAATGTTTCCCCAGAGCTGGAATTGTTTGCACCCACAGTGACTGCTTCCCAGCCTGGCCATGGGAAAGAGCCGGACTGAGGTAACGTGGCTGAGAGACGCCTGTTTATTAAGAAAGGGGGTAGTTAGGGTGAAAAGGGGAGATCTGACTATGTATAAACAGCCTCAGGCAGAAAAATAAAGGTTCATCTCTAGGTCTCTGGGAAGTAAATTTCAGAACAGAATGCTTCTTTCACCTGTACTATGTACCACACCATTGAGTGCAGAAATAAACTATTACACCTCAACTGTTTAACTTATATTACAACAATTATATAATGATACAGATAAAGAAAGCATTCAGTTCATCGTGACATAAGACAGATGGCATGAATAAGGGCTGTATTTTTAACAAAGGTAATAGAAAAAAAATATTCTGTGACAGCATTGTTCAAATTAAAGAATAATTGGGGAATTACAATGTGAAATGAATTAATAAAAATTAATTGACTATCCTTAATAAATTATAATACACCCTTAGATTACAGCAGTGAGCACTGTGTACTGAGTACAATGAAATGGATCATTTTAATATAAGGATGTCAGATCTACATTTTGCATGGTGTTTATTCTATGCTGTTTCCGAATATTATTATTAAAATTCCTTCCTGGAGGATTTCCACAAAGTCAGGACATGTTTCGAGTTTGCTATAAAAATGCTTTGTAGAATTTATTTTTAAAAAACTGGGAGTTTATACTGTAAAATACATTTTTGGTTTGCATAAAGGGACTATGTAAATAGGAAAAGATTGGCACAAATTATAAAGATTTATTAATGGGCAATCGGTAATCTGAAAAGGAAAATCTTATTCAAATGTTTGTTGAATTCTACACATATTTAGTGCTGATACTACATATTTTTGTAAGGTTTTAAAAAGAGAGATGAAATGTGCAAAGTTTAATGAATTAGAATTTTTTCATTCCTGACAGTTTGTGGTGTGGAATTATAACGAGCGAATAAGGAGTTGAATAGGATCGTCGTACTTTTATTACATTATATTTATATTTTTAACAACAATTGATACATCAAGACTCCAGTCGTTTTTAATAGAAATTAGTTTTGTGTTTTTTTTTAAACTGAGTATATTTTTAAAGATAGACGTTGTTTTACCCAGGTCTAAAGGTGTGTAGAAATAACCCATTCACATAATTCGTTTTATCCAATTTAAACAAGGGGAAAAGAAGTCAAATTGATCACAAAACGAAAGGAATTTCAGACACGATGGGGAGAGTTAACAAGCATTCCCTAACAGGTGTAAATGTGTTTGAATATTGTAAGAGGTCTGTAGACAAACAAACATTTGTTCAGTGCTTGGAAGCAAGTCTGTGAATTTACACACATTGAACAGCCCCCCCTCCCCCCTGGATTAACCCTATCCTGTAAGAATGGTAGTGAGAGCTTCCCTGCCCACACATAAATGGCTGCTTTAAAGGACAGTTGCTTCCACACAGGGTGGTATCATTTTGAAGTTTACCCCATATGTTGGCTTTGATTTACAAAACTCATCCAGCATCAAGGAAAGTGACAACTCAAAGGCTTCGGGTTAATAATGCCAAATGTGCTCCTTAACAAACCCCCTTGGAAAGAAACAAAGAAAGCTTTCTTTAAATTAACAGCAGAAAGTGTGAAGCTCTTGATATACAAACGCTTTAACGAGTGCCCAAAACTTCACACGTTGGTTCGACTTTTCACAATGGCCTTTAATTAGGTCTAATGGGATTTTCAGATTTGGGGAACTTCTAGTGTGTGCAATATAAATCTTGGTGATTCGCAATAACCCATGGATAATTATTCTAGGGAAGATAGAGTTATATTTGTTGGTTTATCCATTACTCGGAGTGTTGTCTACAGTTATGTGTATCCTAAATGTTATTTTAGTTCTAACAAGTACATTTCTGATCCCAACAACCCAATACACAGTGACAAATAGGTGTCATCTACTCTTAATAATATAATTGCAATTAACCAGATGATCACTGCGTACATGTCCTGTTTATTAGACAGAGACACAGACAGACAGACAGGCAGATAGAAAGATAGACAGTAACGTTATTATTGTTTGCAGTTATAAGAGAATTTGAGAACAGATCAATGTAAGGGTACAGCCAGTGATGTGTGACGTCACTTTACAGGGATTGTCAGCCGGCTGTCACAGAAGGGAAGGTTGCCCTCTCTCATGGGTTGGTCATCCAGCTGTTGGCAGTATTAGCATTGATTGAGTTTCTGTAAAGTATTGAGGATGTGAGATATCTGCTCTGCTAATGCTAGCCTCTCTGGTTCAGACATGTATGCAGAGATTTACCTTGAAAAGATGTCAAGGGCGTGAAGGAGGAACTATACTGCAATGTGTGCCTGCAACATATGTATATTTGTATGAGAGTTATATATAACTTCTGTCTGCCTCTCTGTATCTGTCTGTCTGTCTGTCTATATCTATCATTGTGTTTTCGTGGTTAAAATGACTCGGTTATTGTGAGCACTAGTATGAATGACAATAACCACATGAAAGATATATAATATTAGCTGTGACCCCCGTTAGTTGCTCTCCTGTTAGGTCAATGGAGATAGTCGTTACAGGGAGTTATGCCAGGAGGGTGTACCCACACATCCAGTCTGACCCTCCCCGTGCCCCGGGTGTGATCCCGTGTAGCAGAGCCAGGCTGGGCCCGGTGTTTGGGGGGCACTGGGTGCCTGGGTGGATCCATTACAGAGGAGCAGAGTGTGTGGTCAGTGCTGGATCCCGCTCCGGCTGCCTGGCCCCCAGTCTATGGAACGCTGTCTGTGTTCTTTCCATTCACAGCACAGTTCCTGCCATCTGATTGGTCCGCAGTGTTCCAATGGGCGGAGTACGAGAACCAACTTAGCTCTGTAAAAATCTCTCTGCCTGCTGACCGTGCTCAAAAAGTTCAGAACTTTTCCCAATGCTCCCCCAGCCTGATCCCTGCACCCAGCCTGCACCCATCCTGTAGTGACTGATCCTTGAACCCAGCCAGGCACCCAGCTTTCCAGTGACTGATCCCCACCCAGGACACATTGACTCCATACACTGTGGGAGACTCTATTACTTCTTCTTTATTATCACCATCCTCCTCATCCTCACTGGAGCAGAGCTGCTACGTGTTGACCTAGGAGTAAGGGTACCGGGATCTGCAGGACTGAGTTCACCTGGCTTTACTGTCTGTATCTCTGAGTATCTGGGGAGTCTGAGCCCGGAGTTGTGGGTTCTGAGCGCTGAGTTGGCTCCTTCTCTATGAGTTGACTCTCCAGCTGATCCCGGCCTGGGCAGATCAGGGAGGAGGGAGGAGGGTGTCCAAACTCTCCGGATTGCCTGTGGATATTGTATGATTCTTGCTGCCCCCTCTGTGCCCCGTGTGCCCCCCCTGTGCCCTGTGTGAGTGGAGGAGCCATGCAGGCGCGATACTCGGTGTCCAGCCCGAACTCGCTGGGAGTAGTGCCCTACCTGGGGGGGGAGCAGAGCTATTACCGGGCAGCGGCGGCCGCGGCAGCTGCAGGAGGGGGGTACACAGGCATGCCGGCCCCCATGAGCATGTACTCACACCCAGCCCACGAGCAGTACCAGGCCGGCATGGCCAGAGCCTACGGGCCCTACACCCCCCAACCGCAGCCCAAGGACATGGTGAAACCCCCCTATAGCTACATCGCTCTGATCACCATGGCCATCCAGAACGCCCCCGATAAGAAGATCACCCTGAACGGCATCTACCAGTTCATCATGGAGAGATTCCCCTTCTACCGGGACAACAAGCAGGGCTGGCAGAACAGCATCCGCCACAACCTGTCCCTCAATGAGTGCTTTGTCAAGGTGCCCCGGGATGACAAGAAGCCGGGGAAGGGCAGCTACTGGACCCTGGACCCGGACTCCTACAACATGTTCGAGAACGGCAGCTTTCTGCGCAGGAGGCGGAGGTTCAAGAAGAAGGATGTGATCAAGGACGGGGCCAAGGAGGACAAGGAGCGGCTGATGAAGGACCATGCCGCCCAACCGTGCTCAGCCCAGCGGCAGCCGAGCCAGGCCGGGGGGGAGCAGGAGGGCGGCCCGCAGCCGGTCCGGATTCAGGACATAAAGACCGAGAACGGCTCGGCCTCCCCCCCGCGGGCCATGTCTCCGGCCCTGTCCGCCGTGCCCAAGATAGAGAGCCCGGACAGCAGCAGCAGCATGTCCACCGCTGGCAGCCCGCACAGCATCCCGTCCGCCCGCTCCCTGAGCATGGACTCCGACTCCCACCACCCCCAGCACCACAGCCAGGGCTTCAGCGTGGACAACATCATGACCTCCCTCCGGGGCTCCCCGCAGGGCTCGGGGGACCTGCCAGCTGGACTCATCCCTTCCTCCTCCCGGACTGGCATCGCCCCGGCCCTGTCCATCAACTACCCCTCGGGCCAGGGCACCCTCTACAGCTCGCCCTGCAGCCAGAGCTCCGGCCCGGCCGGGACCTATCACTGCAACATGCAGGCCATGAGCCTGTACTCCGGGGACCGAGCCGGACACCTCACCCCCTCCAACACCCCAGCAGCCAGCACGGTGGAAGAGTCCTTACCTGACTACAACATCACCACCAGCACCACAACCACCTCGGCCCTCAGCCATGGCAGCCAGGAGCACCCCCACCAGGGCCGCCTGCCCTCATGGTACCTGAACCAGGCCGGGGATCTGGGCCACCTGGCCGGGGCCACCTACCCTGGGCAACAGCAGAACTTCCACTCGGTGCGAGAGATGTTTGAGTCCCAGAGGATTGGATTGAACAGCTCCCCTGTGAATGGGAATAGCAGCTGTCAGATGTCCTTCCCATCCAGCCAGTCTCTGTACCGCACCTCGGGGGCATTTGTCTATGACTGCAGCAAATTCTGACCAAAGATCAATCAAAACAAGTTTGAAAAAATGAAAGAAACTCCTTTATTATTATTATTATTATATTATTTTTTTTTCTTCTACAAAAAAGAGGGAAAATTGTATAGATATAATTCTCAAATTCCCTCATCCAAAAGTCAAAAAACACCTAGTTTGTACAGAGACACAAATAATGTGTGGTTTGTAAAAGCCAAATCGACACGTAAGTTTCTTTTACTTTTGAGAAAATCGTTTTGTTTTTGTTTGTTTTTTGGAAGGTATTATTTTGCATATGTTTAAAAGCATATATATATGGCAAGCTTTTATGAACTTGTTCTCAGATGTAAATTGCAATATAGTAATTTATTTTAAAGTGTACTTGGACCAAACGCCAGGCAGTGTTGGCCAGCAGCTCACAATGAGATATTTGAACTTTAGAGTTCTCATTACAAGGAAGAAAAAATGTACCCAGCATATTTTTATCAATTTGTTTTCTTCTGTTCAAAATATTCTGAAGGCTTAGTATTGTTTGTTTCTTAATAAATTACCATTCTATTTGAATGATAAACATGTCTGACAACTCTTTAAATTTAGTAAAGGCAAACCACGCACAAACACATATACTATACATGATATCCTTCTATCTATCTTTCTATCTATCTATCTATCTATCTATCTATATATACACATGTATAATAATTCTATATATGTGTGTAAATATATATGTTACATAGTTATGATATATACAACATATAATATATATTATACATACTAATTTATAAATAAATTTTTTAAGTATTTGATATGGATGTCACTTGAACAAGATTTTTTGTACAGATGTGCTAGAGATTTATGTTTTAATGGGCGGATTTTGATATATCGATGACATTTTTATTTTACCTAATTGTGTGAAAATCTAAGTGAGATTTTTTTGAAGTACTTGTATGAGTTGCTACACTTATACTGTACTTACTACGAAATCACATCCTATGCTCACCCCTTGTCAGGTTAGATATTTTACCACCAGCTTCCTTAATTTACAAGGTAGACTCCTGAGGCTGTCCTCATCCCCTCCTCCATGTACTGATAAGTCAGGAAATGCAATAAATTCATTAACTTCTGGTGATCTGTCCTGTCAATCAGTATTTTAAAGTTGATTAGCTGATTAGAGATTTTTAGGCCTGTGCTGACTCTTTGGATAATGCATTGAGCCTTATCTAGAAGGAGCTTTTAGATGTAATTGTTTGTTGTTAGAGCTGATCGTTAAAGGTTTATTGAGAATTAATAGCAGCTCATATCTATTGTGCAAATATTTTCTCAGCGTTTCATTTTATTTTAGGGGTATATTTATTAAACACTTAGTTGTGGAGAGATGACAACAGATTTGCAAAATTTAAGACAGTAACAAAAATCAAATCCTGAATTTAGCTATATTTATTGTACATTTTACAAGCCAGTTGTCTTCTCTCCACAAGTCACTGTTTAGCGAATAGACTTTTATTTTTTTCTATTCTTCCCCTTTATTAGAGTCTAATACAGTTAGTTATTAAGCAGATCTGTCTACATGATATACGTCTAATTACCACACAATCGAATGTTATCTCACAACATTTGAGAAATACATAATAATGCCAAATAAAAATAAATGTACACATATATGTACCGGCTGTTAGTAAATGCACCATGAATGGTTTGTCTGTAGTACTGGCATGGAGTTATACTGTAGTGGAAGTGTATACATGTTGCATGCAGTGTGGCTTTCTGGTTAATTCATTCCTGAAGTTTCCTGCTGGTCTTGGGTATCAAGGTGAAAGGTTACTTAAATTGTGTGCACTTTACATTTTATGTGCTACTCGGCTATTAATCTTCCAGTAAACATTTGGAATGCACTGCCATTTATTTATTAGCTGTAATTCATAATAATAGTAATACAAATAATATTAATAAAAGTAATAATAATAGTGAACATTACTTTTTAATATAAAACTAATAATTATAATAGTGATACTACTACTGGTAATCTAGCTATAATAAAACTATTATTACTATTATTATTATTATTATTAATTAGGACATGTTTTTCTCTTTGATTATTGCTACACGAGCATTTTAATTTATTCCCAAATGTATCTTTACTGATCAAGTTAGCATAGTGTAGGATTATTGATTAAAAGAGAGATAAAGGACAGAACAGGCTTATTATAAACTCCTTGCCCTGTTTGGTTTGAGGATGTAACCAGAAACCCAACAGGTTAGTCTGAATGTTTTAGTGTATTTTTCGCTTGATTTATCACAAAGCCCCTGTCAGCAGTAATATTCGGATTGTATGTTATCCCACGAAATGTCTCGGATCGGGACAGGGGGAGGGGGACTCGGATTGGTTTTCATGAACGAATTTAGTGCCAAACAATGCAACGAAAGGCATTTCCAAAAAGTAATAATTCTGAGAAATTGTTTTATTTTGTTGTGCAATGTTGGACTATTGCTGCTAGTTCAGTCCTAGATAGGAGCTGTGTAACTGGCTTCACCTCTGGTCCTGTAGCTGTCTAAAAGTATAAGAAAATCACGAACTGACCAGGGAGTCGCACAATTAAGGCTAAAATAGCAGACATTTTAATAATTTAATCATTTTTCCCATTTGGCTATTTCGGCCTAAGATTTGCAATTGCCAGTTAATTTCCCAATTCTCCTTATTTTAGTGAATAAATCTCTTAGTGTGATATGTCTGATTTTGTACAATTTTCCTGTCTAACTGGATATTCTTCTAATCAACAAGAGATCCCATTATACTACAGCCTGAGCAAGTAACACAATGCAAAGACAATGAAAGAATAACATGCTCTCTAAAAAATAGACAAGAGAGAAAACCGAATATATGTATGGAGTTATTACATCATTTGGAGATTAAGGTGTGATATTTCTGCATTTACCCACTGTTTATTTATGGAGTGAAATTGATGCAGGTATACAATCAGTGTCAAATTTCAGTGTGATCGTGGTGCTAGTGTAAGGGATACCGATATATATATTCAGCAGAAATTGATATATGGTTTTTTTTTTGTTTTGTTTTTTTTTTTAGTTTTTTTTTAATGTAATTAGGAGACGTGTGTTGTTGCCAGGCTGTGTGTGTACCAGACTAAAAGTGAGCTGGGCAGTACATGGAGTCACCTATTAGATGGCATCATCCAGCTAGAAGGGTTGTTATGTGTGTGAAACAGGAAAAACAAACATATGAGACCCGTGACTAATTCTATCCAAATAACACAGTGTTGAACGGATGATACTTGACCAAACTAGATGGAGAGGGGAGTATGTGTCAGCTATGGCTTCCCTCCATTCTGTTTTATTTGTATTATTGTATTTATTTAATATTGGTTCTAAGAATAAGATTGTTGTTTGTAATTTTCTCTCCTAGTGATTGTGTCTGTATGAGAGATATACATGGAGGGCTGTGATCCTATATCAGGGGGGATATATCCCAGGTCACTGTGTGTCTATGCTGAGGTCTTTCTAACTATCTCGGGCAGAGCTAGACCTGCATTTGCCTTTTAGGTTAAATCTTAAGGGATCAGCTTCTTTTCTGATTTATGGCTTTTCACATTCTTCTCCCATCAAAAGGGGGAAATTAAGGAGTTTCAAGTAAGTAGAATCAGATCTCTCAAAAATCAGATTTAATTAATTTGATTCTCCAGGACAAAGAGTAGCAATAAGAAAATAATATGATAGGCAGGTAGGACTGTGGCAGATCAAAGACAGCGGCAACAACAAAACACACACACACACGCACACACACACTTGCTGTAACAGAACATATATATATATATACATTTCACAATTTATATATAAATATGTATATACAATCTGTGAAATATATATATATATATTATACATATGTATTGGTTCTGCTATATAATACACACACTAGGGTAAACATTTTCAGTACTTTGCTGATACTTTTAGTTTTATAAAAAGTTTGAGATATTCATACTGTAATGTTCTGTTATTGTATATTAATGTACACACACACTCCCGCAGGGTTTTTATATAGCTATCCATAGACACGCACTCACAGAGACTACCATTACTGTAAAGATATCATCTAAATTGAAGTAATAGCAAAATTCAAGCCTTTTCTAATTCTCACACACCATACGCACACTGTGTGTATAGATGCATTGGCAGGCACAGTGTATGTGTAAACTATATTTCTCTACTTATTCATTATTTTATACATATGTATAATGAATACGTAGAGAAATGTTGGGGCAACAAAATACCCTTCCACCTCTCTGTTCCTGTACGTCCAGTTGTCTGGTTACAATTACATGTCTGTTAGTCCACCCATTGTACAGCGCTACGGAATCTGATGGCGCTATATAAATAATAAAATAATAATAAAATAATAATTATATAAATAGGTAGGTAGTACGGTAGGTAGGTAGAACTGGGATGCATTGTGCAGTTCACAATATGGACTACATTTACTAACAACTACAAAAACTACAAAACTACAAACAGATAGGGTAAAACTAGCTCCACAGACTTTAGAGCATATTTAGTTATTTATTTATGAATTTATTTATTTACCACGAAGCATACACTGATATTTCTCTGGGTTTTAAGTATGTCCGAGGCCCACAAACATCACATTGTTACAATAGAGTACAGTATAATAGTAAAATGATAAAATAATATTAAAATACACATATATAAATTTAACACAGAACAGGGAAGAAATATAATCCACATGAGTAAAATAGCGAGTTTTTGTGACTTCCATATAATAGCCGGTATATAATCTGCAATGCTAGTCATTTCTTAGCTATAAATAATAAAATAATAATAATAATAATAATAATAATAATAATAATAATAATATTGTGTCCATGTAGTTTAGAATAATTCGCTAATAATGATAGAGGCTCCCTGGATATTATTCCATCCAGCAGTATGTGACAGTTATTATGTACAGCTATAATGTACAGTCTGGGACAGCCATGCATTATAATAGCTAGCCTGGCACAGAGGGCACTATTGTAGTACTTTTTAATATGGTGGCCCAGTCAGAACTCATACTTGCCAGTCTGCTAACATGTGTCAGTCTCGTTTATTGTCCTCGGAAAATAGCTAATTGTGGGGATCTAAGATTTCAATCTAAACCAGCCAAACGGTAGCCATAGCTGTGATAGTTAATGTCATAAAACAGAATTTTTTACCTACATTTTGCAAATCGGGTTTCATTTTTTTGCATTGGTAGAAATCACATTGCATTAAGGCGTGCATCCAAGAAAACATTTATTTCATTTATTGAGGATCGAATCATAAAGTGTGCATTTGTTTTAATCGACCTAAAATATAAAAACAAATCATAGAAAAATCATAAAAAGCTAAATATAAAACCTACTAAAATATAAAAAATACAAAATTAAGTCGAAAATGCCAAGTATTTGCCTCCGAATGAGCCCGATGTTTTCACAAATAAGCATTGATTACAATGTTTAACTTAATTTAGATAACAAGCAAATTAATATTAAACTAAAAATGTATAAACAGGGATTTAATATGCAACTGGCTGCACAAATCAGCTCTGAATTAGGTTGTGTGTAGACAGACTTGGTTCTCCTCATTCGTTTTTTATTGAACAAATGCCAATATTCCAATATTTCTATATCAGGTTAACCGTTTGTATGGTGAGTTACTTGCATGAACCGGACTAAGCATTGCTTGGTTTAACACTTTGACAGCCAGTAGGCTATATGACAAAGGATAAACTGTCTATATGACATAGGGAAAAGCTTTCTTAGAGTGGCAAAAGATACAGCTAGCCCAGGCATAGGCAACTTTCGACACTCCAGATGTTTTGGACTACTCCTACCATGATGCTTTGCCAGCACTATGGGTGTTAGAGCATTATGGGGGATGTAGTCCATAACATCTGGAGTGCCGAAGGTTGCCTACCCCTGATCTAGACTATAGTACACACGGTTTTTTTTAAATTAGAAATTAACCGGTTTATGGGGTTTATTCACTAAGCATTGAACTGCAGTTAACTAAAAACCGAATTGCAAAATGTAGGAAAAAGTGTTTCCTTGCTAATATTCTCAAAGGCATTAATTAATCCCAGTTTGGCTATGTCAGTCCACATTATACAATCCCATTTAATTAGGTGTTTAATGAAGAAAACTAAATCTGCAACCTTTAGGGCAAATATCCAAGTTGATAAGAATTTTCCAGTTGTAGAATGTATTTCAGTTCTGCTAGTTTTCTGACATTTAGGCATTTCGATTGGTCAAAATCGTGATTTAAAAATCGTGATTTAGCAACTGCTTAGTAAATAGACCCATAAGCGGTTATATCTGAGTTTTCAGCTTTTTACATTTTTACAAGTGTCTTTAATATTTCCATCGAATAAAGAGACAGACAGACATACAGATCTAGAATTTAAGCTCACTGAGCAGAGCCCTCCACCTCTCTGTTGTCTGGTTATAATTACATGTCTGTTAGCCCACCCATTGTACAGCGCTACAGAATTCGATGGCGCTATATAAATAATAAAATAATAATTATTATTATATAAATAGGTAGGTAGTACGGTAGGTAGGTAGATCTGGGATGCATTGTGCAGTTCACAATATGGACTAAATTTACTAACAGAAAACTGGGTCAGTTCTGTGTTGTTTTAATAAAAGTATCACCATGGAGACCAGTAGAATGTTTGTGCTAATTGACCCAGTATTGTCCTGGCCTAGCAGTAGTCCAGTGTGTAGGTAGCCCATGGCTGTGAATGGCTAGCCGGCTACCTGGCTGGGCCATCACGCTCTCTCTGCTCATTGTAAAGTTTAGTAAATCCGTCCAGAGGTGGTGCGTGTGTGGATGAATATAACCCTCTCGTTTTAATTATGATCAGGCTCATAAAGTCATTCATTTCATTCCAGAGCTATAAACAAATGTCGCGTTAGTCCAAGATTGATGGGGTCTGTGTAATAAAAGCAGGCCTGGTCAGGAAGGAATAAAATTCAATCAGGGGCTGGGAATCATTTTTCAGGGCAAGGGAAGACAAGAGAGAGACGGGGGTCAGGGAGAGGATGTCGGACCGTGTGCTGGCCCATACACACACATTGATCCTTCTAACAGGCAGAATTGGATTTTGGCTTTTCCAGACACCAGTCACCGGCGAGATTGTATTTTGTATGTAAAACCCGCATAATAGTAATAAAAAATATATAGAAGTAGATAGAAAGGCAGAGAGAAAGATAGGCACTTAGTAATGGAAATATAGGATAGAAATGAAATCTACTTTGTAAAGTAAGAATGTTTATTTTTCTTTAGAGCATAACAGCGTACAAATTCAATTTAGTATTTTATTTTTTTCGAAATCGCTCCTATCCTATTCATTTATACGTTGAAAGCGCATTAAGTGTAGTGATTGGATTTTTTTTCAAATGTCTAATTTTGGAAAATCTTATAATAATTCTAAAATTCGAGTAGTTTTCGCCAATTACATATACACAGGCATATTGGCAGACTCCATACATACAATGAAACCTTTCTAAATTGCCATCTTATTTTTTTATTTCATCTTTCTTAATTTGTTGTTACATTCCTACAAGTAAATGGTGTGTCTATATATCCATAGATATGTATTGTGTATATTCAATGTATACTCCTGGATGTCCGTGTGCTTTATACAGTTAGAAACATGCTTTCCATGATTTAACACGAGTTATTTATACTGTAACATTTACACAAATACATTACAGCATTACTCTAACACAGATTCAGTAGCACAACTGCACACACATTCATTTTACAGTACCATCATTCTACGAAAATAATTCATTTTTAATATAAAATGTAAGCAGTACGTTCACGTACAAAGTGCTGTAATAGAAACACAAAGTGCAGTAATACTCAGACACCCAGAGACCAGTAATACTTAGACACACAAAGTGCAGTAATACTCAGACACCCAGAGACCAGTAATACTCAGACACCCAGAGACCAGTAATACTCAGACACCCAGAGACCAGTAATACTCAGACACACAAAGTGCAGTAATACTCAGACACCCAGAGACCAGTAATACTCAGACACACAAAGTGCAGTAATACTCACACACACAGAGACCAGTAATACTCAGACATAGAGTGCAATAATACTCAGACACAGAGTGCAGTAATGCTCAGACATACAGAATGTAGTAATACGTAGACATAGAGTGCATTAATACTCAGACACAGAGATCAGTAATACTCAGACACAGGGTTCAATAATACTCAAACACAGAGTGCAGTAATGCTCAGAGACACAGAATACACTAATACTCAGACACACAGAATCTAGTAATACTCAGACACAGAGATCAGTAATATTCAGACACACAGAGTGCAGTAATACTCACACACAAAGTGCAGTAATACTCATACACTGAGTGCAGTAATACTCAGACACAGAGTGCAACAATGCTCAGACACACAGACCGCAGTAATGCTCAGACAGACAGGATGTAGTAATACTCAGACATAGAGTGCAATAATACTCAGACACAGAGATCAGTAATACTCAGGCACACAGAATGTAGTAATACTCAGACACAGAATGTAGTAATACTCAGACACAGAATGTAGTAATACTCAGACACAGATATCAGTAATGCTCAGACAGACAGAGTGCAGTAATACTCAGACACACAGAGTGCAATAATACTCAGACACACAGAGTGCAATAATACTCAGACACAGAGTGCAGTAATACTCAGACACGCAAAGTGCAGTAATACATAGGCACACAGAATGTAGTAATACTCAAACACAGAGTGCAATAATACTCAGACACAGAGTGCAGTAATACTCAGACACACAGAGTGCAATAATACTCAGACACAGAGTGCAATAATACTCAGACACACAAAGTGCAGTAATACTCAGACACACAGAATGTAGTAATACTCAAACACAGAGTGCGGTAATGCTCAGAGAGAGTGCAGTAATACTCAGACATCGTGCAGTAATACTCAGACAGAGTGCAGTAATACTCAGACACACAGAATACAGTAATACTCAGAGTGCAGTAATACTCAGACACACAGAGATCAGTAATACTCAGACATACAGAGTGCAGTAATACTCAGACACACAGAGTGCATTAATACTCAGACACACAGATCAGTAATACTCAGACACAGAGAGTGCAGTAAAAGTCAGACACACAGAGTGCAGTAAAAGTCAGACACACAGAGTGCAGTAATACTCAGACAGAGTGAAGGATCCACAAGTATTTCTCACAAGTATACACAACACATGGATAATATAATAGTCACCGCCCGGTACCTCTCTCAGAACCATGGTGGATCAATAATCCTTACCGAGTGCACTGTGCTATGGCCATCCATAATACACAATATAAATAATGATTCCTAATGTGCTCGAATGTAATTCGCTCTAGTCTAGGGAATCTCTATACATCCCGTGCATGTGGTAAAACTGCAATATGTCCGAATTCATTATTATTATTTTGTTATTATTATGAGCACCAAGCTTTGTAAATAGAGTCGAGATTTATTCCTGGAAAAGAACAAATTAAGGGATATGAGTCTCCGGCACTCCATTTTCTGCGCACTCCAACTCCCATCACACCCAGTGGACAGTGTTGTAGTCGGGCAGCTGCTGGAGTGTCAGAGGTTACATGTTCTGTGTTAACTGTGAGAGGATTTATTGTCTTAGGTAATAGACACAGCAGGCCTGTCAGCCAGGGAACCCAATATATTATGTGATTATTATATGGGACTAGTGGTCGGATTACGGACTGCAGTTCACACGTTGTTGTTATGGTTCAAGTGACAACTGGGTGGCAGATATCAACTGCATCGATTGGAAGTAGTTGAGTATCTACAATCCAGCGAGACTGATTAGCAAATAAAGACATGTGTTTCTTTAACAATGGGCAAAGCAGCCCAGGTCCTTTCACCCCAGATATCTGGAAGAGACTCAGACAGTGCTGCTCCACAGGCTGCGTGTGATGGGAGTCATGCTGCTCTCAGTTTACGGGGCATGTAAAGATATAGGGAGCTAGGAGTGGAGCTCTGTGATTACAGCTCGCATACCGCCCATCAGCCAGCATGGGGAGAGAGCTCCAGCTAACACGGTAGAATAGGTCGTGCTGCATATAGTGACTGAGAGCATAGCAGGGACAAGGTAAATCAGTGCCATGGATGAAGTATGTAGAATATTATATGGATGGATGGATGGGGGCAGGCGGTCTCCTGAGCTCTGGATGCAGAGTGCACCAACCTAGTGCTGGGGGTTCTCTCTCCATTCACTCTCCTGGGGATTCGTTTTGACTGTTTTATGGACATCTTCCGCCAATGAGATGGTTTTCAGGGGCTCATACAATGTGAATACTCCCCTCCTCTCAGCTCCCGGTTAGTACCGTGAGAGCTACATCAGACATCTCACTATCACAGCAAGCATGCAGGACTGACACACTCTCTAATACAGGACCTGCACTGCTACAAGGAGAATAGAGAGATACACTGCACAGCCACAAGGAGAATAGAGACAGCCTGAACAACCACAAGGAGACTAGAGAGACACCCTGCACTGCCACAAGGAGAATAGAGAGACACCATGCACTGCCACTAGGAGAATAGAGACAGCCTGAACAGCCACAATGAGACTAGAGAGACACCCTGCACTGCCACTAGGAGAATAGAGAGACACCCTGCACTGCCACTAGGAGAATAGAGAGACACCCTGCACAGCCACCAGGAGAATAGAGAGACACCCTGCACTGCCACTAGGAGAATAGAGAGACACCCTGCACAGCCACCAGGAGAATAGAGAGACACCCTGCACTGCCACTAGGAGAATAGAGAGACACCCTGCACTGCCACTAGGAGAATAGAGAGACACCCTGCACAGCCACCATGAGAATAGAGAGACACTCTGCACTGCCACTAGGAGAATAGAGAGACACCCTGCACTGTCACAAGGAGAATAGAGAGACACCCTGCACAGCCACTAGGAGAATAGAGAGACACCCTGCACAGCCCTAAGAAAAAGAGACGCCCAGAAGAACCGCAGGGCAAGAGAGAGGCTTCTTGTGCAGTCCTAGAAAAACTCATTGACACGTTATCCGGTATATCTGCAACTTCTATTCCAGAACTTTAAGAATTAAGCGTTTATTTATTAAACTTCGAATAGATATGAACTGGGAATCGAATCGAAAAGGTTGGGTAAAAAGAGCTGACCTGTGATTATAGCTTATCTGTAGATTTATTTATTTTTTCAAATGAGCACCGAATACATGTATTTTTTTCAAATCGGTTTCCAATTCCCTAGAATTTATTTTTAGTGAATGACAGTCATTCTATTTTTCTATTACTATTAGTTAAAAATCTATTTCTAAGTGCGTGCTTGTTGCAGTTGGCTATTCTAGATCAGTAACTGTCTGGGTTTTTATAAAATCTTCTCGCAAATATACATTTTGAATAACAATAGAATGGCTGAAGAGAAAGGTGTCTATATAGTAACTGTATGCCGAAGTTCTTGGAGCAGTCACCATGGAAACCAAGGCAATACACCTGCCAATTGCTCCACTTTAGCACTTAGCCTTGTTTTAAAACGCATCACCTTCAAATCTTCTCTACCAACTTGTCTGTTGCAACTACTTTTTTACTCCACATATTGTACAGGGCCGCTTGATAAATAAGGAGCACATGACAGAGGTTAAGGCAAAATAAGTTATCTGGGTAAACAAATCTTAAGTCCTGCAGTGTTGGAGACTTTTTTCCCAGCTCCCATACGTTGATCTAAATTTTGCATGTCGGTACTTAAATTACAGCACATCGCCGTTTAGTGAATAGGTATCTTGGAGTGTATTTCCTTTGGTCTTCGGGGCTGTTTGTTGTTCTAGTCGCAGTGCGGTATGTATCATCCGTTCTAAAGCTGTAGATGTGTGATGGAGTGTGTCTTGTCATTAATCCGAGGCAGCGAGTTTGCTCTGAATGATTAGCCTCCTGCACTGACAAGTTAGAGAGGAGGAGGAATCGCCTGCAGATACATTAGCTGCTAATAACTCTTGTTTTCATATACTAAACCTTTATCAGAACATAACCGTGTCACACAAGGTAATCTCACTTCCCTCCTATCACCCTCAGCCATGGCAGCTGTCGATCTAATCTGCTCCTATGACAGATTATATGCTAATTATTAAATATAAACAATCTATAATGGTTATTATTCCTAATGCAAGCTGTGCAGTCACTGAATTCGGATTTCTATAACAATGTAGCAAATGACAGCATAGAATACTGAACGCCATGCTTAGGACTGCTATTTACTTTAGTTTGTATGGAAGACATGGTTACTATTATTGGAGTACACCGTTTAATGTGCCATCATTAAAGCAGTGTTTTAGTGTGGGATACTTGCAATGCGTGAATAGGGTAAGCTTGTTTGAGCAGGGTCCTCAATAACCTATTTTATAATTGTCTTAATTGTTGTTAAATTCCCTCCATTATAACATTGTAAGGCGCTGCGGAATAAGTTGGCGATATATATATATATAAATAATAATAATAAACTGGGGATTGGCAATATTGGATAAGGAGATGGGTCCTACACTGGTTTTAGGGACAATTAGTAACGGCAGAAAAAGAGAAAGTCACCAATCGATCAGGAGAATACTCTGGATTCTGTCAGAGTATTGATCCACAGTGTGGCGTAGGAGTCGTCCTATACGCATTAGTAGTAGTAACCTTTTCACTGCCGGAATGCTGTAGAGAAGTCTGATTACATGATGTCACACACATTGTGTGTTAAATATATAATATTAACCCCCTAGCCTGTCAGCACAATACACTCCAGAGATTCCTTTTCTGATGATGCCATTTAATGGCTGTAGTAACGTTGTACACACACAGTGGCAGAATATCAACGTGATAAATGAGCATTTCTCCAGCAATGCATTGCCATGGGTTCTTTTGTTGGTGTAAATATTTAGCAAGCTGCACTTTATCATTCCCCATCCAACACACACTCATTATGGATGTGTACTAACTGGGATTGTAAACATGTCTGTCCAGGATAGCTGCTAAACGGAGGTTGATTTGACTATACTGAACAGTTTCAATGTGCGTTTCATTATCAATAGAATGTGTGTGTTAAATCGAGAGAACTCTGTAAAATAGAAGTTAATAATCATTTGCAGATATCTTTGTGTAGATTGTTTCATGTAGATTTCCCCCCTCAAATAAAATCCCATGAAACACACATTATAAGGGGGGCCATATAAAATACAGTCTCTGTGTGCACCTGTAAAGCAAGGTGTTGTGAAGCTGTCTGTGTGATCAAACTCTGCTGGACTGGGCACCTGGATCCCATTAGCAAGAACAGGCTCCTGACCTATGCTTTTCCTACACTTTCAGCAAGATGTCCTCTAAGGATCCAGTCATTTGAGTCCAGGTGTTAAGAGTACTAGGCCAGCAACAGAGTTTCCACTGCAGATCCTTGGAAACTGCACTCCCTCCAAATAACACACAAAGAGACCTCTATCGTTTGCATTTACAGCTCTGTAGCAAGACAAACAGCAAAAACAAGTCCCAGATTGCTTACATGACTGATATGTTCAGGTACCTACAATGGCACACATGGTCTGAGATGACTTACCTCTATCTATCACATTTGCATCATTGTAAATATATATACTATTGGAAGAAGTTTAGATTTTTTTAGTATGATGAAAGTGTTAAAATTGTTTATTCATTTGTGCAGAATTGGATTAAAGATTGCAGTGAATTTTAACTACAATTAATTAAATCTTAATAACCATTGTTAAAATGTCAGTTTGCAGAACCATCATCTGAAATGTAGTTTTAAGGCTTGTTGTACAAGCCATCTGAAATGCTCATTGCTGAGGGACATCTCTATATAATAATAATTAAAAATAACACAACAACTCATATCTTGTATAACCTTCTAAACATGTACATCCTATGTGTCTGCATGTCCATAATCCATGAATGCTGTGCATAAAAAATACAAATCATTTGGGGTATATTCACTAAGCACATTTTAGTTAATTGAAAATTGAATAGCAAAAGTTAGGCCACATTAGCAAGAGTTGGAAAAATTCATCAACTAAGCTGCAGTCAGAGCTAGGATATTTTACCCTTTTTTTCTGCAATTCTGTTTTCAGTTCCTTCCGGGTTGAGGTTTACTAAGTAACTCCATTAACCCTGTTTAATTCTACAAAGAAGTCTATAAGGTCTACACACTGCAAACAATATTTCCACCCGCCGAGAAATTGAATATAAGATTTATTTTTTACACAAACTTGGTAACGTGAAGAAACACTTTTTAAGTACCAGAGTTTGGCAATAGGATCACTTTATATTAGCCCTGAAAAAGTCAATTTTTCATCAGACAAGAAGGACACTTTCCACAGCCACTTACTAAATTGCACCAACAAAGGAAAAGGGGGACCACTGAATTAGGGGTTCTCTGATCTCACACTATATCATGGGTGGCACTGAAAGATTTCTACTACCTTTCAGCTGTTTTAGAGTATTAGTTCATGACCATTCTAAAAATCAGCATTTACATATTTTTCTTTTAAATTTTTTTTTTTTACGCAAACTCAACTAAAATATCTAAAACAAGTTACCTTTTTTTACCTGTCTTGGCCTCTGGGGTAGAAATGAATGTCAAATAAGAAATAAAAAAATAATGGAAGATCCCAGCTCAAATTATGGTCTTATTGACCTCTTAATAACCCGGGTGCCTTGGCAAGAAGGCTCAACCAACATTTACTAACTTTACGGCTTGTAGGTATAGACTTTCTACACTTTACCATTTTCTGAGCTGCTTTGAGATCCTGTGGCTAATTATAGACAGAAGAGACAGGAAAGCGATATGAATGGGGCTATTCTGAAGGAGCGAGGCCACGGGTATAGAGGAGCCTTTTGTCATAAGCTTCTAGACTGCACTGTGCCTCTATACTCTAGCCAAGCTTAAACCTCTGGGCTTACAGATCTTCGGCACAAGCATAATCTAAAAAAGGGCTTTTATGTGAATAAGGCCTTATACTGAATAAGTGCAAAAAAGAAACATTCAATCAAATAATATATTCTACTAACTATTTGGCTACATAGCTGGTTAACCATTTCAGTAGAGTTTTAACCGTTTCAGGGAGAGGGATTCTAGAAAAACTATAGGGATCTTAATCATGGGAGTAAAAATAATATAAGAAAATAAACAGTGTAATGGAATTGGATTGATTTTCTTTTCTTATCTGTAAGGTTACGAGGAAGACAAACACAAACTTGGTGAAATGATTGCACGCATTAGCATTTTGTAGAAATGCAATTTAATAAGAAAGAAGATCTATATGAAAGAAGTAGAAAATGGCAAGCTCCAATTGCGTTTCCACGCTTAATAATAATTACACAAAGATCTTACCATATATCTGTGAAAAACAGTAGCAAAATAAAGTAAAATATACGAATGAAGAACCCCATACAAGGTATAAAATAAAGACAAAAAACAAACCCCAATCAAACATCAAGGTGTGTTGCAGTACCAGTAATGTGTATGATTAAATAGAGGGACATTTAATACAGAATATATTGTACTACTAAAATGAGATTCAGCAAGCGGTGGATTATCCAAGGGGTTGCACCAGGCCCTTATTTTTATTCTTCATACTCAGGCGTTGGGATTGGTCTCCATTAAATGGATGTCCGCTTCCACCATCTCCTTCACAAGTTCCTGAAATAAAATTAATTTTCTTTTAATTTATGTTTCATATTTACAATTAAAGAAGAAGGGATAGTAACTGTTGTGTGTCCATATATGTATATAGTTACCCTGCCATCAGATTGCAATACTCAGCAAACACAAACATGGAAGAAGTTGTAAAGAAGTGTCAGTTTGGGTAGAAGATGTGCACACGTGACTTAAACAGAACACTGTCCATAAATGTCCATGTGGGAAAATATGGTTGGTATTAAAATATATAGTTACCTCTTTGTGGCCATACCATAATACATGTATTGTATATGAATGCAAGTTTCAAGCTCTAAAAATCCTTTCTTTTCAGGACTATAGCTCTTCTGGTAGAACATGGTCCAATACAAAGAAGAGCCTCTAGCACTGGTCCAGCCTAACAATAATTTTATAAGTCATGGTGTAATAGGTTCAAATTGACTGTATTGTGTTATGAAGGGGAGGGGGTAGCTAAAATATATGAACTACAGTTTTTTAATGTGTATGTGTGTTTGTATATATATATATATATATATATATATATAAAGAATCAGTGAAGCAAGGCACTCCTCCTCCATCTATATATTCAATATAAATGCCCAGGTGCAAACCCGCGTTATATATACCCAACAATAGTAGTCCAGGGAGCACACTGGGTCTTCAAATTAGTGAAAAAAATTCCTTTTAATGTATCATAAAAAATACATCTGCTGTGAGATACCGACCAACGTTTCGACCCTCCTGGGGTCTTTATCAAGATCGATAAAGACCCCAGGAGGGTCGAAACGTTGGTCGGTATCTCACAGCAGATGTATTTTTTATGATACATTAAAAGGAATTTTTTTCACTAATTTGAAGACCCAGTGTGCTCCCTGGACTACTATTGTTGGGTATATATATATATATATATATATATATATATATTTATCATACAAAATCCAGCGCACTCACTCATTCACTATACAGCAATTTCAAGTCTCACAGAATGTAAAAATACTTTTTTTTTTTTTATTAAAAACACCTCACCTAGGCAAAAATAATGGGGGGTTAGTTACAGTATATGGTCAGCCTGCCACAATGTCAAAGTACTCTCATTCTTGGCAGGTCCTACTCTAGCAACCTAATGCCTGCTCATAGGTGTGTATATATATATATATATATATATATATATATATATAAAAATTCTAAAGTGTGAATTGTGAGACTTTTTTACATTGCTATGTTTTACAGTTTTAGACATTTGTTTCTGTATATTAAAGAAAAAATGTCTATAAGACTTAGAATGTTTCTGTTTCACAATGCCTTACATTACATTTCCATATGCACAGGAAGCTACAGGGCATGAGATTAGTTTCATTTCACATAATCAACTGTTCCAATTTTGCTTCAGTTATGAAAAACTGCACCTACATCAAATGATACTCTGCATTGCCATCCTAACTTCTGCTTGGCTTTGCTGCAGTCACCTTGGAGGAATTCCTAATGAAAGAAACAAAATAGCACAATGTAAAGCTGCAATATGTGATACAGAATTTTGAAATCTCAATAAGGAAATACATAAACACAAACCCTCACATGCAATCCAAGTAGTAGTTCTCAATAATTAATGGTTTATTACGTTTTTAACGTATCCATTATCAGTGTTAAAGCGTCAAGATCAAGTCAACTGGATACATATTATAATGGAAGTACCCCACTATCTTATACATAAACTTATCATTAATCAGAGGTGGTACTAGCACTTTAAGCTGTTGATGAGGACAATTTGAATTTAGTCATTTAGAGCGACACTATAGACACCCAGACTGCTTCAGCTTATTGAAGTTATTAAGAAACTGCAGTGATTGAGCAACTGCAATAACTAATTTGCAGGGTTAACTCCACCTCTACTGGCTGTCCACCAGATAGTCACTAGAGGCATTTCCAGGTCCTCAGCAGACTTCAGGTCACTTGACTTTATCAAAAGGTGTAATAGACATATTCAAATCGGAATATATATTTGTATTTTTCCTGTGTTTGTTTACAATTTCAGTTATAACTTCTTGGACTTCCATAATACAGGTGCTCATTATTTAAATGGTTAAAAAGTAATACTTTTGTCCTAAGGGAAAAGTCTGTTGGCATATCCAGAAGGCAAGATTTAAGATTTAAGTAAATAAATGGGTAACATAACATACATATAGCTATTTATTTAACTAGGTTAGTTATTTAAAAGAAGAATGGAGTATGGTATTGAGACAGACCATTTTACAATCATATGTGTAACAGTATAAATATGCGCTCCTGTGAGTTGTATTTTTGTGTAGCTTATTGAAACGCACAACTACAATTAACATTACTTTGAAAAGAATAACATCATGGTAGGATAGAGAGATCTCAGTCTAAAAAAGAGGGACTCTGCCTCCAAAGAGGAATACTTCAGAAGCATTGCTAAATGAAAACCACCATAGCTCATTTCTGGAAATCAACACCTAATGTACACAGGAGATGCCATAGTGTAAAGCTATATAGAACGAGTTTCTGAAAAGGTTAACTAGAATCTGTTATGTTAAATTACATCTAAGGACAATCACAGCAGATTCCTAATGGTATACCAGTGATATGTGTAGTAATGGCTCCCAGCGGTGTCATCACAAGGAATAACAATGCGGAATCTGGAATTAATTTAGTTGTCTGAATCAAGCTACAAGTAGTCAGGTTTAGGGCTAGTTCAGCCCTGAATATCACAAGGCCTCAAAGTGTTACAGTGCACACTCAAAAAAAAATAAACAACGAAAAAAAATAAATTTAAGAGTGAGACGAGTATAGTTCCAGCACAAACTAAACAAAAAATAAAAAAATAAAATATGTACTGTAAAAAAACACAAAACAAAAAAAAAACATGAATATTAGTGGTAGAACTGATATAAAACTTGAGTTCAGTTGCCAAGCTTTTTTTTTTTTTTTTTTAAACAAAATGATTAAGTAGAGAGTTTATTCACCAGGCTAATCCGTGTTTCCAGAATGAAAAGCACCCTGAGGGGCTCTTAATAACTCCAATTTGTCCTAAACAATGAAATCAAGCAAGGCCTTGAAGCAACAAAAAGTCTCTGCAAGGCATCACCACTGAGACAATGTACATATTAGGGTGAAAGGTAATGTAAGGGCTAGGCTCCTGCATCTGATTACTCCACAACCTCTAGCATCTCTAACCACAAAGCCGTGTGTGCCATAGCTTCGAACCTAAACACACACATACCACTCCGTCTATTTTAAATTACTTTGGTTACAGTTCATGGTCTCCATTTATCTGAACAACAGACAGATAAATCTGTGCAGATTTCAATTTCTCCTGTGACCAAACCACACTCTGTAAAAACAGCAGAGGCGCACCAGAAATTTAACTGTGCAGCGGTCATGTTACTGCACGGAATGGTTCAAATTATTGTCTTGTTTTGTTTAAAACAGAAGTAAATCACAAAGCAAACACAACAACAAATGATATATTTCACTCTAAATGAAAACACATGCACAGGGGTAAGATGCCCGAAATGGTTAAAGAAAGATTTTCATAATGGAAAAAAGGCTGAATTGTTTTTCGAACATGATTGTGAATAACTAACCTGTTAACTGCTGAATTGGCAAGTAGGGCTCAATTTATAATGTGCAACACTGAGCAATGCTCTACATCTTAATTTAGAAGCAACACCCACTGAGACCATTTTGTTAGATTCCATAAATACATTTCCTGATCAAGACACAAACCACACAAATAGGTTTAAACGCAAACCATAAACTCTGCGCACTTCTTACTACTGACCGTAATGTATTTTCAGCACCCATAACATTTAAACCTCTGATCATTTTAGAACTGGTAAGCACCCAATTAATACCAACTGGCATCTGTATGTAATTTCAGCGGCATAGCTTGTTCTAAATTACATTAAAGGACTACCAAAATAAAAAGCACCTAAATTGCACCTGTCGTGACTAACATGACTTGGCGTTACTTTAAAGAGCTTTTAATTTCATCTATACATTACACTAGCCAAGTTGACAGCAAATGTATAGATATCACAATAAATAGATTAAATAAATTAAATAAATTAAAAAAAAAACAAATAAAAAAAAAACACACACACATATATATTTTTATTAAAAAATATATTTTATATGGAATAAATAAAAGCTACATTTTACTACTTCAACCAAGTCCCAGGAGTGCGATTGTTTCTACACCCATATATATATGTGTGTGTTTAATTTGCAGGGCTAATATATATATAGGATCCCGGTGACTGCAACAGGGGGAGGGGTTACTATTTAGAAAGACACTAAGGGAACACTACAGTGTTAGCAATACAAAACGGTCTTTCTCCGACCCCCGCCCCAGTCATGAAATTATTTAAAAACCTTTCTCTCAATTGTAGGGTTAGACACACTGCACCCAGAGCACTTAAATGAGAGTAAGTGGCTGGGTGCCTATAAAGTACCCTAAGAAAAAAAACACAATCTTAATGCAGTGAATTTCAAACATAATGAAAAATATTGCCATTTTAGAGAAACAGCAACATTTATGTTTCTATGAAACCACGCCTCTATCAGACAGACAGCTACAGGAGACTCTTCCTCAATCAAAGGTCTTCATGTTCAACAATATTCCGCACAACATGATGGTGCTGAAAGGTACTTTATGCACTGGCATAAAAGTGAGTTTTATAACAATTTTAGGTATATCCCCTTTGAATTTTCACCTCGCTTCTCCTTCAACCAATATGGAGAGGGATACTCAACACGTAAGATACCTCAGAATGCAATCTATTGGATGCTTACTGCACGGGTTATTCGGTCAAAGACCATATATCCTTATACCTACGGGCAGGTGATTCTGAATCCCATTTTGTGTGGGCAAGTCCCATTCTTCTCCAGTGACTATTGAAACCCACTCCTTAATGGAGAAGCTGCAGGACAAATCCTAGATTCAACCGGCAGACCATTCTTTGACCCGAGGTTAATTCATCACCCCCATTCCACCAAATGGGTTCCACCTAGCCATATTGCAGAGTTCTTACAATACTGGCTTAATTGCCAGCTGGACAAGGAGGAGAAATTGAGGGTTGAATGCCCACGTCCTATGGTCCTTCACAAGGTCGCCTGCACGCTGTAATTCAACCCCATGTTGGTGACCTTCATGAACAGAGCTGGATGGGACACTTGTAAGGGATTAGAACAAGGCTTGGAGTCTGTGCAGATAAACGTTATCAAACATCTCTGGGCCGATAAAGCAGATTTCTATATAGAAATCAGAATTAACAAAGGTTGATAATTCTTGTGTGTAAAGGCATGCAGTGGACTTATTTATTATTAAGAGAACAGTTTGGGAATTACTACTTTGTCTATTCCTGACAGTGAGGCTAATGAGGGAAACTAACAAATATCATACACTTCCATTTGGCAGAAGCCATAAGCTGCTGAAGCAGAGTTCTCGCTTTCAATATGGATTATTGTAAACCCATCCCTTGGTGCTATGCGGCAATTATGGTGCCTTAATAGAGAGGCCAATAGCATGCCTTCCACTCATGGGCAGCTGGTTCTGCTGTCAAATGGCAGATCAATGCGAGGTCCCTCAAATTCCTTCTTAAAGGAGATTACACATGTGAAAATCCTAGTTGCTTTGCAGTACCGAAGCCTAATACAGAAATACAGATTTTTTATTATTATTATTTTTTGCAAACACATAGGCAATAACTGGAGTGTTTAAATATACTATTTAAAAATGTTTTTAGCTTATCCCATCCAAGAAAGAAAAATCTTAGTGGTCCCTAATTACTACACATAAATTTTTCCCCCACATAAAAACTAGTGGGGTGCTGCACCATGTGACCCAAGAATGATCCTCCACTGGTGACTCTGATGAGGATTACAAATACATGATATATAACTATACAGAACCTTATTCAACTACTGCCAAGATATGATTGCAACCTCCATAAAATTAACTTGGGCTCTTCATACATCATCCTGATTGTATCACACTATAAATTGTTACATTAACAAAAAAAGATACCTTACAAGGAAAAACATAATCAGAATGTTTTAGTTTATGTAATTGCTGCCAGTAAATATGTAGAATTAAATGTACAGAATTCTAGTTTATTTTTCGTGCTCTGCCTAGGTAAGCAGCTTAAAAATTAGGTAAAAACTTTTTGTTAGTAAATAAAATATATTGTGTTAGACACTGTACAGACACTGTTAACCAGTTACTAAGTGTCATCCTTAAGCACCAAAATGTAACTTTGTCTCAAGTTCCAATGCGATTTATATCCCCTCTGGGCACGAGGTGTTGTCACAGGAATGTCTGCCACAACTCCATTGTGATCCTCTGCATCAAAACTCTTCCCCAAAGCATCAACCATGGTAGGTCAAACGTCATGACTGCATTATAACAGCAAAAGAGGGTTCCTAGGGCACGGGGTAGACTTTCGGGGTAAGAGCAGTATGCGCATGCCAATTGTATGTGGGCATTAGACATAATTTTTACATTCTGGCATTTTAAACAAGCTTGAAAGGACACTATAATCATCAGAAAAACTGCAGCTTAATGTATGTGGTCTATAGCCTCTCCCTGCAGACTTTTTAGTGTAAGCACTGCCTTTTTTCAGAGAAAACTGACATTACTGACTAGGAACACCTATAGTGGCAGTCATTCGTACGGCCATTAGAGGTGCTTCCTGGGTCAGTGTTGTCACATAGAAATGCGTTGATTCATTGATGTATTGATAGGGGGCCAGGACCTAAATTTTTCTATTTAAACCATAGTGCCAGGAATACATGTTTATATTCCTGACATTATAGTGTTCCTTTAAGTAATAGAAATGCAGTCATGTTCTTTACCAATGCCCCTAATCAATGTATTTAACATTTTTTATTAACCAGTTTTGTCACAACTACTGATTGACAAAAATGGTATTTCTGCTCTTAAGCTAATTTTTAGAATCTGGATAAAACAAAGGACAAGATAAAATACACAATATTATTTAAAAAATGTAACCCTTTAAATATGTTTGTAAAGAATGGTAAAAAAAAGGAACATGAATATAAATTAACAGAATTGTATATATATATATGTTTGTGTGGCGAAAGTAACCTCGCCACTTGTACTTGGAGGGGCCTGCTTGCCAGCCTCCTGCCCACAGACTATGGGCCCTGCAGGGAAACCTGTAAAAGACTACCAAACTTGACCGACTGTTAGCACTGATTTCCCTGGAAATGTTTTGGGCATAGGACGGTTGGTCAAAACTATGACTTCCAGGAAATTCCTGAACCCCTGAACCGATCTGGGTGATTTTTGGATATGTTGTTCACCCAGATCAGGGCTATCAGGGGATGTAATGGGGTTTTATATGTTCTTAAGGTTTCATAAAATCGTATGTTTGTCTGTGCTTGGAGATAATTGGGTTAGATTAGTACTGTTCCTGATTCAATTATCTCCCAAGCACGGATGAGGGATTCTATTGTTTGTGTATGGGACTGTCTCACTGTATGACTCTGTTTTTATTGGTTTATTCACTTTGTGTCCCTGTGCCCAACAAGGTCCACCTAGGTGTCACCATTGTTGGGAAACTTGCATAAGAGGCCAGTGTGCCTCCATTAAAACTTCTGTTCCTGCTTACCCTCAACATAGAATCTCATCTCATGCAGTGGTGTATCCTGGTTTTGTGCTGCCCTAGGCAGGACAAAACTCAGGCACCCCCCCGCGCCACCCCCACCCGCGCAACCGCCACCCAACCTTCCCCCCTGCTCCGCCTTCTAAATACACACACACACATTCACTGACAGATACGCATTCACTAGCTAACAGAAACACACACTCACTAACAGACACACACTCACTCACTCACTAACAGACACACACACTCACTAACAGACACACACACTCACAGGCAAACACACACACACTAACAGGCAAACACACACACTAACAGACATCCACACTAACAGACATCCACACTAACAGACTAACACTAACATACATACACTAACATTAACATACACACTAACACTAACAGACACACACACTAACACTAACATACACACACACACTAACACACAAACACTAACAGACACACACTAACAGACACACACTAACAGACATCCACACACACACACACTAACATACACACACTAACATACATACACACACTAACATACACACTAACAGACATCCACACACACACACTAACATACACACACTAACATACATACACACACTAACATACACACTAACAGACATCCACACACACACTAGCAGACATACACACACTCACTAGTGTTTTTTTTTAATTTTTTTATTTAACCCCCCCCAGCCTCCTTACCTTTGGTAATGCTGGGGGGGAGGTTCTTCCTCTGCCTGGGGTCCAGTGGCTGCAGGGCGGGCGGGCGGGCGGCCGGCGAGGGAGCTCTTCCCCTGAGCGCTCTGCTCAGCTCCCTCGCGCGCCGCCAGCAGAGTGAGGCTGGGAGCCGGAATATGACGTCATCAACCCGGCTCCCAGCCTCACTCACTCTGCTGGCGGCGCGCGAGGGAGCTGAGCAGAGCACTCAGGGGAAGAGCTCCGTCGCCGGCCGCCCGCCCAGCGCTGCAGCCACTGCCGCCCAGAATGTCTGTTAGCCGCGAGGCTAACAAGACATTTGCCTTGGGCATTTGGGGGGCGGCGTTTTTTGCCGTCCCCTGAAAAATGCCGCCCAAGGCAAATGCCTTGTTTGCCTCGCGGCTAATACGCCCCTGATCTCATGTGTGGGGCAAACGGCTGTATCTATCCTGCTGCTGATCCAAAAAGAAGGCAAAAAACCCGGTCTGAAGCGCTTCCAATTTTGCAACAAACTAGGAAAAAAATTCCTTCTTGACCCCAAAATAGCAGTCAGATATCTCCTTGGATCAAGCAGCTATTACCCCACTAATTAGAAATGATATCCCTGTATGTATCACTATACTCTCCAGGAATTATAATCACTAGCTCTTATAAGAGCTGTTCCTGCTACGCAGGGCCAGATTAAGGGCCCAGTGGGCCTGGTGCTGACAATTATGACGGGCCTAATTACAGAATCATATCGACCAAAAACAGTAAAACACTCCAAAGCATCATGTATCTGATGTTGCTGGAGAGAAAGAAAACAGCAGCTATAAGAAAACACATACCCTAGGCTAATCTCTCTCTAATTTATGTTTTCATCTTTCAAGTAAATCCATAACCCCTAACAGCAACGTCCAGTCAATTGGCATGGTAAAAGGGTGTGCCACTGACACAAATCACGTAACCTGCCAAAAGGGGCGAACATGCCCAAAAAGAGGACATGTCTGCTCAAAGAATTAGAAGGCCAGCCTGGTATGAATGCATGTCAGGCTGCCTGCCAATCATGCAGCTGGCCAACTAAGGGCATACTATGCAGACAGCACCCTGAGCTTGGCATAAATGCATCTAATGATGCACTCACTCAACGCTTTCTAAGGGCTGGTCCACTTGTCTCCTTTCCTTCTTACTAGCAGGCAGAAGCTCCTGGTATTTGGTCTGGGACAGAGAAAAGCTGTATGTAGTGAGTGTAGAAGAAAGGGAACATGCCACAGTGTTAGAGAGACCAAAGTCAGCATTACCTTAAAGGATCACTATAGGGTCAGGAACACAAACATGAATTCATGACCCTATAGTGTTAACACCACCATCTAGCCCCCCTGGGCCCCTCATGCCTCCATAAATATAGCAAAATCTTACTATATTCAAGCCTGAAGCTGTAACTCTGCATGCTGTTAGATTCATAAAAACAAGCAGTCTGCTGACATCATTAGAAGTGGTGGCCTGATCCAATCACAGTGCTTCCCCATAGGATTGTCTGAGACTGTCAAAGAGGCAGATCAGGGTCAGAGCCAGCATGATTCAAACTCAGCCCTGGCCAATCAGCATCTCCTTATATAGATGAATTTAATTAATTAATCTCTATGAGGAAAGTTCAGTGTCTGCATGCAGAGGGAGGAGACACTGAATGTTTGGATGCATTTTAGGCAACCATGACCCAGGAAGGATCTCTAACAGTCATCTAAGGAGTGGTCAGTGAAGTTATCACTAGGATGTAATGTAAACACTGCATTTTCTCTGAAAAGCAGTTTTTACAGCAAAATGCCTGACGGTAATGATTCTACTCACCAGAACAAATTTAATAAGCTGCAGTTGTTCTGGTGACTATAGTGTCCCTTTAACTATATTCATTGTCAGCCAGTCCAAGTTTTGTTCCCATACATCCCTCTTAAGTTTCCATACTTAAGTAAGAGTATGTGAAAAGTAGTTAGGGTTGCCACCTTTCTTGGAAAAACATACCGGCCTTACTAATTTGCATAATTAAATATGTATGGGTGACATCACATGATGTAAATCAGAAGGACTGACATAAGAGAAAATTCTGTAAAATCACCAAAAAACTACTTAGTTTGATTCTGCTGTATAGATGGATTCCTCCCAGTGCCCCCATGTCTCCCAGTGCCCTCATGACTCAGTGCCCCCATGTGTCGATTACTCCAGGTCTTAGTGTTCCTATGTATCAGTGTCTCAGTGCCCCATGTCTCCCAGTGTCCCTTAGTGTCTCAGTGTCTGCCATAATGTCTCCCAGTGTCCCTTAGTGTCTCAGTGTCCCCATGTCTCCTTGCACCTTTCCCCCATCCCTTACTTCCCTGAGCTGTAGGCTGTCTCTGCAGGGTGGAAGTTGCTGTCTGGACTCTCTGTAGCTGCACCCCTGCAGATCAGTGAGTATAGATAGGCAGGGAGGGATATGCTGGAACTTCCTATCCCTGCCTGTCTCCACACACAGTGACCTCTACTGGCCAGTGCTGGTATTGCAGAGTAATCTCTTGTTTATACTGAGAAAAATACCAGCATTTGTATTGCCAGTATCACTGCAATATTGGCACCAGCCAGGCAGCCTCAAATACTGGCTGTGCCAATAAAATAAAAGCCAGGTGGAATCCCTAAGAGTAGTGTGTGAAAAAAAAAAATGTAAAAAAAAATTTTTTTTTTTTTTTTTTTAAATCGATGGGCCTATTCCATGGGCCTGGGCCTGGAGCTGCAGCTCCATCAGCCCCTATGTTAATCCGGCCCTGCTGCTACGCTCTCTGGGGAGAGGTCTGCCCACTGGAAGCTGGATCCTGGTCTTGGGCCCAGAGTGTGTGAAGGATGGTGAAACTCCGGTGCAGCTGCATCACTGGAAGTGGGATCTGCAGTGCTTATGGTGTCTGGTGAAGTGCTGGAATTCCTTGGTGAGCACTACGAGCATCGATTGGCGGAGGCACTCGGTCAGAGTGCCAGGCGGTCCGTCACAGTTTGTATTCCTGGACAGCAGTCTATCAACAAAAGTGCTGCTTTATCATAGATTTATGTGCTAACCCTCCATCCTATGTTTCAAATAAACTTCATGCTATTTTTATATAAGAAATATTGTAGTGAATGTGTAAAAAAGCATAGATTTAATACGTTTCACGTAATTAGCAATTTCATGTATCCCAAACAAATCCATTTGATCTGAGGGAGTAAAAAAACAAAACCCCAAGGCAAAACATGTATATTCTTTATAAACACATGCTCAAAAAAGTTGAAAACTTATGGAATAAATGTAACAAAATAAAAATTTGCATCACATAAGAGAGTGTACACTGAAGAAAATATTTCCAGTCATACACAGACGCATATTGTGTGAATCAAACTACTTAAAAAAAAAAAAAAAATGACAAAAAACCCCCCAATTTTTAAAACCTTCGAGAAAAATGTAAAGTATTTTAAAGTAAATACACCACTTCCTGAGCCCTACTTCAGGGTGTGAGAGCTGCATTCATTTGACTGTTTAGGTGAAAGATATGGTCTGAAAGTGTATTTGGTCTAATTCAATTATTGTAATTGAGATTTTGAAACCATTATAGCTGGATAAAAAAAAAGAAAAAAAAGAAAAGGCCACCGTTAAAAGGTTCAGTATGGATAGTAAATCTGAGTTGGGAAAGAAAGAAACACAGCATTGTGTATAACAATCTCACTACTAAAATTGCTTTTTTTTGCCTTTAAGACTTTCTAATCCTCTTTTACCATCTAAAGCTATTACAGCAGCTATTGCTAACAGTAACACTACAGATGTCTGAGAACAACATTTTCCAAAATGCTAAGACAACCTGTAGGCTGAAACAGGAGTGTGGGTAGTTGGCTAACATCTGCAGCGCCAAGATTAGCATTTATTGCCTTAGCAATTATAAACCAGTCTGTTCAAGCTCTTCACCTTGAATCATTCAGTGTAAAATGTATTGACAGTAAATGTAGGGAAAACCTGACATAGTCCACATTTTGTGAGTTGATAGCAAACAAAATCCACCCTTCCATTTTACTCACATTCTCTCCTCCTTTTCTTCTCTTTCTTTCCCCACCAATTTTTAGATCTAAATATCTGAGTCATATGAGAATACATTAGCCATTGTACTTTGCCATTCCTTTACACTAGTGAAATATCTTGCTTATATTTAAACGCAACTAGTTAGTTAGGATTCAACATTTTTTTCAAACCATTGCACAGTGCCTTTAACCCTACAACGGTGGTATAGCAAATTAAAATCCTAGAACACTGCACACATTACATCCCTGAAGATACTAGCTCATCCAACACTTCACATTAGATGAATTATGACGTTTTCAAAGCTACTCATAAAGAGGAAAGCTGGGACGTCATGGCTCCATCACACATTGCTATAAAACTTAACCAATTGATGGTTGACAACTAAAAGTACTAGTAGACTGGTCCATTTCTTTTTTATATTGTGGACACTGTGGACTTTGGGGCACAGTGGCTGGCATCTCTTACATAGTTACACAGCTGAAAAGAGACTTGCGTCCATCAAGTTCAGCCTTCCTCACATGTTTTTGCTGTTGATCCAAAAAGAAGGCAAAAAACCCGGTCTGAAGCGCTTCCAATTTTGCAACAAACTAGAAAAAAATTCCTTCTTGACCCCAAAATAGCAGTCAGATGTCTCCTTGGATCAAGCAGCTATTACCCCACTAATTAGAAATTATATCCCTGTATGTTATGTTTGTGCAAGTGCTTATCCAATTGCTATTTAAACATCTGTATGGACTCTGATAAAACCTCCTCTTCAGGCAGATAATTCCATATCCTTATTGCTATTAGTGTGAAAAAAACTTTTCTTTGCCTTAGATGAAATCTCCTTTCTTCCAGCCTAAATGCCTGACCACGTGTCCTATATATAGCCCAGTTTATGAATAGATTTCCAGATAATGGTTTGTACTGGCCCTGAATATATTTGTATAATGTTATGATATCCCCTCTGAGGCTCCGTTCTACCCAAACTAAAGAGATTTAAATTTTTTAACCTTTCTTCTTAACTAAAATGCACCATTCCTTTTATCAAGTTTGTACCTTGTCTATACACTTTTTCTTGTGCCATGATATCCTTCTTTAGAACAGGTTCCCAAAATTGCACAGCATATTCATGGTGTGATCTTATCAGCATTTTATAAAGAGGCAAAATTATATTTTCATCCTGAGAATTTATGCTCCTATTAAAACATGACAAAACCTTACTGGCCTTTGCAACTGCAGATTGACATTGCATATTGCTGCCTAATTTGTTGTCCATAACAATTCCCAAATCCTTCTCGTGTGTGGTTATCCCTGGTTCACTACCATTTAGTTTGTAAGTTGCTTTTGCATCCTTGACCCCGAAGTGCATAACTTTGCATTTCTCTACATTAAATTCCATCTGCCATTTTAGTGCCCAGCCCCCAATCTATCTAAATCCCTCTGCAGCAAAGCAATATCCTGCTCACATTTAATAACTTTACAAAGTTTTGTGTCATCTGCAAACAATGAAACATGGCTTTCAATGCCTATTTCAAGATAATTTATAAATGTGTTAAATAGAAGCGGTCCCAAAATAAAACCCTGAAGGAGACCACTTACCACTTTTGTCCAGCCTGAAAATTTACCATTAATGACAACTCGTTGTACTCTATCCTTAGGCCAATGTTCTACCCAAGAACAAGAATATTCATCTAGACCAATTTCTTTTAGTTTGAAGACTAAAATATTGTTAGGAACCGTATCAAATGCCTTGGCAAAATCCAAGTAGATCACATTCACTGCAACACCCTGATCTATACTTCTACTTACTTCTTCGTAGAATGCAATTAGGTTTGACATTAGTTTTGACCTGACCTATGTTTTGTAAAACCATGTTGATTATTGCTAATAACAAAGTTCTTCCCAATGAATTCCTGAATATTATCCCTTAATAGCCCTTCAAATATTTTCCCAGCCACAGAAGTTAAGCTCACAGGTCTATACTTTCCAGGCAAGGATTTTGAACCCTTTTAAAACACAAAAATCTTGAAAGATTAAATACAGAGGTTCACTTATTTTCCCAATTAGCTCCTTAAGTACTCGTGGGTGAATACCATCAGTCCCCAGAGCTTTAATTTTCTTTAACTGCTGTAGCACCTTATCTCGAATCATCCAATCACAAGTTATCTGCAAGTTTTTTGCAGCAATCATTTGCATATCTCTTGCCATAGGATCCTCATTAACATATACTGAAGAAAAATAGTTATTTAAAATTTCTGCCTTTTCCTGGTCTTCATTAACTAACAGACCCATCTCTGTTTTCAGTGCACCTACACTTTCATTTTTTGTTGAAAGATTTGCACACTCCCCTCTGTTTAAATAATGTTAATGGTCATGTTTTCTGCCTCCTTAAAGGGATACTCTAAATTCCTACAGCACTTTAACTTACTGTAATGCTGTATGTATAAAGAGTATCTAAAGTGTAGCTTTCAATAGAAATTGGCATTTTTAAACATTAACCTGTTTACACCCCCCCTAGCTGTCAATCAGAAAACAGGTCCTGTTACTTCCTGGTTTGGTTAGCTCAGTGGAGCTAAACTCAAGAGGCAGCAACTGTCCAGATCTCCTGCCTTGCAAAAGCTTATCATCGAGCTACATAGGGAAGTCTCTGATTGGACAACCATAGAAAGTCAAGGTGAGCAAAGGCAGCAGATAAAAGAAGTACAGATTTTACAAGCTGTTTTAGACATACCCCAATGAAAATCATGCATTATTAAATCCATGATGTTTTCACTTGGGAATATCCATTAAATAGTGGAGTGTCCTTGTAATATTCTAGTGCAATTATATTACTTCACTTATATTTTTATTGTTCTTAACAAAATTTGGAATTCACGTGTGTGACGAAATGTCTTTTGTCACTGGATTTTTAGGTGACAAGCTGCCCTTTGCCCCTGGCTGTTGGAGGAGCCTGATTGCCAGCCTCCTGCCTCATGACTATGGCCCTAGGTTGTATTGCCCTTTACAAACATTATTTGGGCTAATGGATTTATATTGTGCTGCTGCAGGCCCTTTAAGAATTGCATTGTGGCTTATGGACTTGTATTGGACCATGCTGGCCCTTTAAGAACCATCTGGGGACATATTGAGACTTTGTGTGACAATGCCTCTTTAAGACGGTGTCCCCAGACTTGGTTAAAATCCTTTGTTCATTGCTATTATCCACTTGGTTCAGTAAATGGGGCTTACTGAACCAAGTACCACACAGGCGGACCACCTAGAAGTGGAAGTGTGCAGGCAATTTACCTCCCAGGCTGGGAGCCTGCTGTAGGTAAATTGCCGACCACTGGGTGGCCGCAGTTCGTGCAAACGAACACGTGGCGGTGGCCATCTTTGTTCATTCGAACAAGGTCAGCGGTATGTGTAGCCAAATTCATGGAACTGAAATTGGCTACACATTTCAACAAACATCGCTGACCCTTACCTTCTCCTACACTCCGTTTTCAGCTACAGAGACTAAGTCCTGTTCGGCAGTTTTAACTCACTGTTATACTGAGCCAAATGCATGAACGGCCTCGGTTACAACGTGTCCGTACATCTCCATCATGCAAAATTCTTAAAGAGAAAAAAAAATCATATGGAAAAATAAGTAGCCAGGGAAAAATTTAATCTGCTTTTACTACCTTACCTTTAAACAGTTTGCACATTGCTCAGTGTCAGTAAATTACATTTGCTAACTTCGTCCCACCTCTGTGTCTTGATTTGCAGAAAGTAAAAAATGACTTCTAACAATTTTAATAACCAATAATTCATAGAATCAATTTAGCGATCGCATACTTTCCAAACAGTGGCAGAACTAATGTAGAGAAAACCCTGGTGCAGGAAATCTGTTTTGTGTCCACCTTACCTAGTGCAAGTGTGGCCAAAAGGTAGATCACTATCTGTCATACAACTTCCACGATGTCAACTGGAGATCTACTATTTGCCCATCCTTTCAGGGTTGTATTTCTGAGCAGTGTATGTGCATTTGAAAGTAGTCATGTTTTTGTATGGAGTATATGGGTGCATGTAGGAGTGTATTTGTAAGTACTGTTTGTCACAAACGCACCCTACTTCAAGAGTGTGATGTAGTTGTGGTGGTCAAAGGGTTAAAGTTCACTATTTGTCTGCACTAGACCGGAAATAATGATAACAATCCCTCTTAACACCACCCATACTTAACCATAATACTAATAATATTACTATCTTAACACTGTCACCACCAGGACAATTTATAAATGGGTTGCCTTGGTCCCCCAGGTAACTTAATAATAAAAACCCACCAGATACAACTTAGCACAATACCTATGCAATTGCAAAACACTCATTGGTGTCTTCGGGTAACGTGATTCTTTATCAGACAAAGGCAGAACTTATTAAAGGAATATTTATTATGACAAAAAATAGTCACAGTGCAAACGAAAATATAGATGACAATTAAATTAGTTACACCAACAACAGATAAAAACAAAAGAGATAAAATAACAGAAGTCCTAATCACTTACTCAGGTTTTCAAAGTAAAATTTCTAACCAGGGGGTCTCTTGTAAGGGAGATTGTGACTCACTCAGAATTAGATTCTGGCCCCCAAGCAAGTACAAACACATTTCAGAATCATTAGAGATATACCCTGTTAATTACCACGCCTGGCCTAGAGGTGGGGATAAGGCAGACCTATGAAACAATAAGTGACCACCCCCTTGTGTTCCAGACCAGCATCAATCCAAATGGAAACATTTAGTTTTATCTCCTGTTATGTACTTGCCACAGAAATAAGAATTGCATCTATGAATTTACCACCAGTTTTCCATTCCATAGATATTTCACACTCCTTACTTGTGACCCAATATAGCGTACATCACAATCCCTTCCCCTATGGTTAAGTTACGCAAATCATGTTTGGGCTTGATTAGAAGATTGTGCTTTTCCCATTCTAAATATAATAAAAATGAGGCTTAATTGTTATTCTGTGGGTACATATTAATGTTTCTTTTGGATATGATACTTAAACACAAGGCTAATGATCATTAACATATTAATGAAATTAACTCATCAATTAAGAGGTAGAGGCCATATAAGTGAAAGGAACTCACTTCCTCCCATCATCGGCCATATTACAGGGGCATAGTTGTGTTGTTAAAGGGCCACAACACCCAATCGGGCACCTATTCATAAATAACATTGGGTGTCCCGTGCACTTAGGGTTACCTTGCATGCAGGCCCTGGTGCTTTTGCACCAGCTGCACTGGCGGTAGTTCTGCCGCTGATCCCAAGTGTACCTGTTTAGGAGAAACAGTCCATATTCTAGGGGCACCTAGACTCCTATGCCAACTGAATTTAAATGAGAGGACGGTGTCTCATGGGCGAACTGCATGCAATGTCACTTTAATTATAATTTTAATAGAGCAGATATGATATGCATTGTTAACATATACATCAAAGCACTATCACTTTGTTTAGGTTTGACACTGCATTTTTTTCATTACTGTAATTTTGCATTATATACATTCACATACAGATGATTAAAATACACTTTAGCTTATTTAGCACTAGCACTATTTAATTTGGCTCCCACAATGGAATGAATGTAGGACCCTTCGATATTGTGGTACTGTGAAGTAGTGGTGGGCTTAACACAATATGGCCATATGGAGGAACTGAATAGCCATATTTGTTTGCTGAGATAGGTGACTTTAAGTGGTCTCATGTTCTATTTTTCTGTGTGCACTGTTATTAATCTGTATTATATATAAATTTTGGTAATTACAGCAGCACCATTCCTGCAAAATGCATGCTCCGGTTGTGCCCCCAGTTCCTTTTTGCCTTTGCAAGGGTGTCTCAAGTTGTGTGCGTATCTCTGTGTCAGTGTGTATATGAACTTGTGTGTATGTTTCAGTGTGTTTATATGTGTGTATCTGTGTATTAATATGTGTATATATATATATATATATATATATGTGTGTGTAAGTATGTATATATGTAGCGGTGTATGTGTGTATGTGTATATAGCCAAGCAATCAAACACCAACACAACATGCAAACACACTCCTGCAATTTAACACAAATATTAAATACACACACACACACCCCTTTACTCAAACACCAATACTACACACAAACGTGTATCCACATTTAAACGCTAACACTACAAGCAAACACACTCCTGCAATCAAGTGCAAACATTAAATACAAACACTAAAATTGTACACAAACAACCCTTTATTTAAACTCCAACACTACACACAAAAGTAAACTGCATTTAAAAGTCAACACTATACAAATATAACCCTGTATTCAAACACAAACAATAGTACACCACTGCATTCCAATGGCAACAGTACATACAAATACACCCCTACATGCACAAATGTACTCTGTGCAAAAACATGCTTACATTCAAATGCACAAACACTACTCACAAATACAACCCTGAAAGGATGGGAATGTGGTAGAACCCCAGCTGGCATAGCATCGTTGGAAATGTACGACAGATCATGCTCTATCTTTTGGCCAGTCTTGCACTAGAAGGGGGCAAGAGACCTTCTTGCACCAGGTACCTCTCTACATTAGTTCTATCACTAAATGTATTGCTTGATTCACTATTTATAGAATAAACCCCACTGTTTGTAGTTGAATACATTTGCGAATAAGAGGAATGCTGACTAATATCAAGAGCATCAAGTAACAAATGACACCCTTTTAAGGATTTTGGACATCTTTAATTTTGAAATATGTCATGTAATAGGAGCATATACCATTAGCATACAATATGCAGACTCAGGGAGATTACACAATCAACAATCAGACTTGTCACCCAAACAATCAAGAAAATACTGGAGGTGATTTTTTTGAACTTTTCTTTCTACCCAAAGACAAGTTTAGACAGCGTTAAACATGATTTTTGTCCTGCCTTCACTGTGACATAAAAAAGGCAGTTGGATCACAGCTTGAATTGAGAGAGTGAAATCCCTTTCAACATCTCGATCTAATTATGTCATCAATGTTACTCCCCTCCTGTTTAGATTTAAGTGTTTAATGTCAAATTAAGATGTTGGTGGCCGCTGTACAAGTACCATATATCTGGAGTATTACCACCATTTCAAATGTATTAATTCCATCTGCCAAAAAATGTAGATAATTATCAACTTTTTTTGGTCGATTTTTTTAGATCGAATTTCGGATGGATTTAATGCTTTACATAATTCAAGCTGCTAAACTTGAAAAATGGGTTGGCTGACCATAATATATGGCTTGGCAACTGATAAACTCTTTATCAAGACTATTGGATCTAATGTATTTAAGGCCTAGGTCGCTTTAATCTATCTCAGTGAAAATAAAAAAAAGAAAAGACATATCTATTTTAAAAATATCAATGAACAAAGAACGTCACTGGATGCCAACCAAAACTCTTGAAGCGACCACCTAAACGGTATTTCACATACAGCATTTTAATGCATCTTTAGAAATTTTAACCTTCTTAAAGTTAAGGATCAAGGCTTTTTTGAGATGCCACAAGTTTGTGACCAAGGCACAAGGCCATGCGTTCATTCTTCCACTATTTCCCACCTTCTGTTTAAGTACACCCATACTTATTATACAGTTAGGTCTGAAAATATTGGGACACTGGTACAAGTTTTGTTATTTTGGTTGTTTACCAAAATAAATTGAAGTTACAGTTAAATAATGAATATGGGCTTAACCCCTTAAGGACACATGACATTATTAATTATTCCAGAATTTTGGTCCTTAAGGGGTTAAAGTGGTCTCTCGGCTTTAATTTGAGCTTATTTACATCCAAATTGGAGGAAGGGTTTAGGAATTACTGCTTTTTAATATGCAGCCGCCTCTTTTGCAAGGGGCCAAAAGTAATTGGACAATTGACTCAAAACCTGTATCATGGACAGGTGTAGGCTATTCCTTAATTATATCTTCATCATTTAAGCAGGGAAAAGGTCTGAATTTGATTCCAAGTGTGGCATTTGCATTTGGAAGCTTTCCCTGTGAACAAAACATGTGATCAAAGGAGCTCTCAATGCACGCGTAAAAGGCCCTCCTTAGGCTGCAAACCCCCCCCAAAAATGCATCAGAGAGATAGCAGGAACATTAGGAGTGGCCAAATCCACACTTTAGTACATTCAGAGAAAAAAAGAACGCACTGGTGAGCTCTGAAACACAAAAAGGCCTCGACGTCCACGGAAATCAACAGTGGTGGATGATCGTAGGATTGTTTTGATGGTAAAGAAAAACCCCTTCACAATATCCAGCCCAGGAGACAGATATCAAAACCCATAAAGAGAAAAGTTAACGAGAGCAAACACAAAGGATTCACTACAAGGTGCAAACTATTCACAATTTACCCTTGGGCTTAAGCTTCTGGTCTTTCTACCATCACAGTACTGCCAAAAAAATCAGTGACCCTTTAATAGGATCATCAAAAGTTTAGCCACTGCAACACCTCAAAAAGATTGGAAAATGCATTTTTAGCCAGTACTCAAAAATATTTCTAATTTAGTGTATGATCAGAACAAACACCACTAACAGCTCCCTGTCGTGATGGCATGTACAAGCAATCTTAACTAAAAATTCCTTGTTAATTAATTCCACCAATTAAAGGATGAACAAGCACTGTAACTAATATATACTGGAGCAAAGTTGATGGCACAACAAAAACTCATGCACAGAGTGCGTAAAATGTTTTAGAGGTGCTTTAACCCCTTAAGGACACATGACATGTGTGACATGTCATGATTCCCTTTTATTCCAGAAGTTTGGTCCTTAAGGGGTTAAAGAAAGACAAACGGATTACAATATCCATATAGAACATATTGAAGATAATTAAACACCTGTCATCTATTAGGATAATCAATGCATTTGGCTGTATGTAACCTGAAAACTGTGATGTTTTTTGGAAACCCCTCAAATGTGCAATTTTGTTGTAGATAAAGCGGCACTGTAGAATCCGTATAATCTTTATGGAATACTCATTTTGACTGTGTTGTAATTTCACTGAAATTCCAACCCAGTCAAGAGATTTACTGAGACAAAGTAGGAACTAGTATATGTCTTACACCTAACACTTCTAGACACTGGGCAGAGCTACCACCATCTAGAATGTCAATCAGCTATGGCTGCAGGGAATTGGCTCTCTCTATGGAGGAACCTGTGGTCTTGCGGGATCCTCTATAGACTTTAAATCTGTGCTCTCTCACATGCGCTGAGGAACGGGTTCAGGTAAGTAAATCTCACCTGTGCCTGTCCTGCCGGCCATTGGGCCACAAGAAGGTGACATTGCCGATTTAACTTTGCATTATCATTATTATGCATGACATTGCAAATTAACAATGAAACCACAGCTCATGTTCAGTTTTAAAATAATAATGTTTTCTGACTTTGGCATCGTCACCAGCAGAAAAAAAAAGATTTACTTAATTTGGATTGAGAATGCTTTTATAACGATTACTTGATACCGACTGAAAGTCCGTCAACAATATCACTGTTACCAACACTGGATTATGATTTAGGTCAGTGTATGAAAAAACTAAAATTAACATGTGGTGGCATATACAATCAGTGCTATCCCCATTTAGTTGTATTAACAGAACAACAGCACATTTCATCTTCAGCGAATGTGATAACTAGTATTATTGTTCTAACATAGCAAGATGTTTTAATAACTATGCATTTTCTTCTCAATTCAGGACACAGAACAAAAGAGGGTCACACAGACTCCGTACACAAGTATGCCATAACGTTTAATCAATTGTGCAACAGAAACAAAAGTTTTCTAATGGTTTCTAAAGCGTTAAAAAAACCTGAATGGTGGGAGTCGGGGGGGGTTGGGGGGGGGAAGGAAAAGAAAATTTTGATTTGTTTCCATATGCCTTTTTTTTATTCAAAGATACTGAATATAGAATAAAATGGCACAAAGTTAAGACAAACAGTGGATGAAAACAAGGCCAACTCTTGCTCCTTCCTTGCATTCCTAGAAAACTAGAGCGGTGGAACAGCCGAGGTATCGAGGGAACGAAAGAATGTTTGGGGATTTAGCTTTTATTGTAAACTAGTGGTAAATACAGCTAGAATCACATTTACATGCAAAAGGAAGCAGTTCGAACTGCTCATATTTACACAAAATGTCTTGCTGATCTTGGTTTAAAAAAGAACGAAAGAAAAAAAAAAAGAAAAAAAAAAAGGGAGAAAAACAGACAGGCATTTCCGTTTCCAGAGAATTTTGAAAATTACGCTTAACTTATCAGTGAAAGCATATCTCCAATTTCATCGTGCACAGGCACGGAAAGCCAAATGCACACTCTGGAAAAAGTGATAATGGAGGGCTGTGACAACACGTACATTGTGCCCTCTTTCTCAGTTTTAGAGTTTAGAGTATCAGCACAAATTAAAGCAGAAACCAGTCCTGTGTTTTAATGACAGGGGGTGATAGGAGACAAGAAGAAAACAGCAAGCTGTCTGGTCTGCTCAGGAAGTTAGGAATCAGTGGCATTGTCCGTCAGCAGGGGCCAAGAGAATTCCGTCAGTGTTCAAACAATGCTTCAGCTCAACCTCAGGGAAATTGAGTCAGTCAGCACTGAGTCTGACAAGCATACTGACAGTGGAGATAAAACTGCAAATGGAGAATAGCAGAGGGAGCTGCCCCCTGCACTGTGTGATTCTCTTGGTTACAGTGTAATTAGTCTCAAGGATGCAATACACAATAATCAGCGCAAGCTCATAGTGCATCCCACTATTGAATGCATGGGGCGATCAATTCGTTGCACCTAGATGGATTGATGTTAAGCACGGGTTTATTTAAATTAGGTGTAAAATGAGAAATAAACAACCCCCTCCCCTCACCCCACAATGTAATCATGGAAAAGTTTATTGACAACCAATACACTCACATCTCTTAGTGTATTGTTTTTTTGTTTTTTTTTTATCATTGCTGAAAATATAAGAATACAGTAAATGTTATTCACATTTAAAAGGTCATAGTAATAGATTAAATAGTAAAATAGTATAGTACATTTCTAGTTTACAGCTAATACATATTAAAGGGATACTGTAGTCACCAAAACAACTTTAGCTTAATAAAGCAGTTTTGGTGTATAGATCATGCCTCTGAAGTTTCAGTTCTCAATTCACTGCCATTTAGGAGTTAAATCACTTTTATTTCTGTCCATGCAGCCCTAGCCACACCTCCCCTGGCTGTGACTCACACAGCCTGCATGAAAAGAAATGGTTTCACTTTCAGTTCAGTTGTAACTCACTTTAAACGTTATCTCCTGCGCTCTAAATTGAACTTTAGTCACACACACGAGGCTCTGGCATGGTCTAGGAAGCTATTAACAGTGCAAGGGATAAGAAATTTTAAAGTAAACCCAATTTGCCATAAAGGAAGTATGAACATTAGATGACTTTTTACAGGAGGTGTTTAGAAAGGCTTTGTAAGTCACATGTAGGGAGGTGTGACAAGGGTGCATAAACAAAGTGTTTTAGCTCCTAAATGGCAGATAATAGAGCAGTGAGACAGTAGGGACATGATCTATATACCAAAACTGCTTCAGTAAGCTAAACGTGTTTTGGTGACTATAGTGTCTCTTTAATATTTCATTTGAAGCTCTGAAACTGTTCCATAGTGAAGTTTTGAGCTAGCCCGGGGATTGTGAATGATTTCAAGAATTATGAACACATACGACCTCTTGGTTACATGTTCTATCTTTCATCTAATAAGTTGTGCTTAGAATCAAAGAGGATTTAAAGATGGCTGCTCCCACAGATCCAGGAAACGTACTTATATGTATTCATTGCAAAATACCACATACGCTCGATGTGAACTTTAGTTTTAAATAATATTAAAAATATGATATAGCCTCTTTAATAGATAGGTTATAGATAAAGCAGTAATGCCCATTTCATTCCTCCAGAAAGTCAACATTTATTTATTAGACAGAGGACTGACATTAGTTTATTGTCAGTTATTGGCTGTGAGTAGAATTTTAACTGTATTATCAGTAATTTAATATGGAGAAAACAATAATGCCACCCATTCCAAAATCAGTAAAATAAATACTTATCCCTGTTACCACCATAATTTGGTTATATTTAAAGTCACTGTCACAAATGCACCCTACTTCACGAGTGTGCGTGACGTAGTTGTGAAAGGGTTAAATTTCACTACTTGTCTGCCCTTGACTGGAAATAATGATAAACTCCCACTTAACACCAGCCACACTGAACCATAATAATATAAATATTACTATTTCAACGCTGCCACCACCAAGGCAATTTATAAATGTGGTCCCTTCTTCCCCCAGGTAACTTAATAATAAAAACCCACCAGACGAGTAGATTGCACCCTCAGCACGACGGAGACACACTTCCTACGCGACCCCCCCCCCCCCCACCCCTCCTTCCACATGACACATAGACACACAAAAGACCCGGAGGGACACAACCCCCGGGGGCACGCGGACCGACTTAAGGCTCCGCACAAAGCGGAATCTATGAGAAAGCAGAGACAGAGACGGAGGACCATGGGTCACGGGAGGGGAGGAGTGACCCGCTAGAGCGACATATGGACCAATACACTAGGGGACGGAGGGAAGAGAGAGACTGGGACGCAAGGAACATGGACTCACCCCCACCCCAGACACAAGAAGCCACGACCTGAGCCAGTAGCACCCGGCCCAGACCACGCCAACTAACAACCGGGGCTGCCGCAGGTGGCATACATAACCCCACACACACCGAACCCAGCGAGACCCAAGATAAGAGATAACAACCTAGACTTAGGTATCTAGAAGAGTCACGGGGACCGTGCTACATGCCCCAGGGCTGATATGATCACACCCACCACACGAGCGACTCAAACCAGGGGCCTGAGGAGACGACACGGCATCTGACACAGACCCCACACACCGCACAACGATAGAATAAGACATCACAGGACAACCCTACTTATACTAGCTGCGCCTACGGACAACCCAGGTCAACTACCCCCAGGGAAAACCTAAAACAGATCGACTCAGGGAAACTAGGGGGTAACCACACGGTCACAGGGGCAAAATAATTGGCCCCCTCATGATTTAAGACTGAGCCCATCCACACCAGGCTCATTACGACCTAAACCAACACACAAATCAAACACAAACCAGACTGGAACCCCCATACAAAGCCCCAGACGGTACCCCCCCAAAGAAGGACACACGTAGACAGACATAACACGGATTGGGACAAAGCTCTATACCCATCAACCTGGCACTAGAAACACGAACAAATCACCACGTACGAGGCTGGGGACAAAGATGAACCGCACCACACATAGACGGAGACTACCACAACTCTTAAGTACCATAGGTCACACTAGACCCAATAAGTAAGTGAGGGGAAACCTTGCACTGAGCCAACCTCTCTATTAGGGTCCTACCTACAAATGAGGAAGCTCAGAGACCGATGCAGGGATGCACAACTCCCCCTCTGACCCACGAGCACAACACAGAGCGGTTGAAACAACCCACCCGAAAACACGCACGAATCTTGAGGAGCAACCACAAACTCCATTCGCACCCGACCACAGAGGGGACTAACCCCATACAGGGCTAACGACAGAACACAAATAGCCAAATACTCAAACACAATTTATTATCCAGTAGTTGAAACCATCTTGATGCTGTAATACACATAACTGACCCGTTTATCTGTTACCACATGTTAATTTACATTGGATATACATGCTGTGATTGAATATTGAAAAACTTAAATAAAGAATGTCAAAAACCCACCAAATATAACTTACCACAATATCTATGTAATTGCAAAACACTAATTAGTCTCTTCAGGTAACATGATTCTTCACCAGACAAAGGCTAAACTTAATAAAGGAATATTTATTATGAGCAAAAAATAGTCACAGTGCTTACACAAATATAGAAGACAATCAAATACAGATATAAAAAAAAAAAGGGATAAAATAACAGAAGTCCTAAAACTTACTCCGGTTTTCAAAGTAAAACTTCTGCCCAGGGAGTCTCTGGTAAGAAAGATGGTGACTCACTCAGAATTAGATTCTGGCCCCCAAGCAAGCCCAATACACACTTCAGTATCATCATGTTTGTCATCCTGAAGAATGCTCCAAAGGAGAGCCGAAACGTTGATGTGTATTTTTTATTTTTGAATTTGAATTAAAAGCTATATTTTATTTAATCTGAAAGTCCCTGGAGTGCAGTCTGTTTACTGGAACATTTGCATCTTTTTGCTGGATCAGCACCGGGCAAGAACGGTATTGGTACCAGAAGTGCAAGCATTTTTGTTTTTGTCAGTATCATTAGATATATACCCTGTGGATTACCAAGCCTTGCCCAGTGGTGGAGGATAAGGCGTACCTATAGTAACTTTAAGTGACCACCCCTTTGTGTTCCAGACCAACATCAATCCAAATGGAAACATTTGGTTCTATCTCCTCTTATGTACTTGCCAGAGAAATAATATTGCATCTATGAATTTGTTGCCAATCTCCCATTCCATAGATATGTCACACTCCTTACTTGTGACCCACTAAGTTACGCAAATCATGTTTGAGTTTGATTAGAAGATTGTGCTTGTCCCATTCTAAATATAATAAAAATGAGGCTTAATTATTAATCTGTGGGTAAATATTAATGTTTCTCTTGGATATGATACTGGAACACAAGGCTAATGGTCATTAACACATCAAAGGACCCCCTATGAGGGAATCTAGAGGTATGGCAATTTAGAGAGTTAGTTTATATTTAAACCAGACTTCCAGGCCACTTATGTGTGACTTCTCGCACCTTGCAGAGCCTTTGATTAATCAAAGGATCAATCCATATGGTAAACCATCTGCCCCTTTTCACATTCCTATGCAATTTACATTATCCCTTCTGTCATCTGATCTCTACCAAGTGGCCAATTCGTATATACACTACACAAATTACATTAAATGGTAATATTCTATTGTGCAACATTGAATTATGCACTCTTGGCGTGACAGTCACTTTAACCAATTTTTATGCAGATTATTAAAACAAACACACACATTCTACTATATTTTTTAAATTTTCATTCAATGTTTATTCTAAATATTATGAACATGTGACTTTATCCATGATATCTATAGGACAGTACAACCTCCAAAGCAATTAGGATGTGGCTGTATATTTCAACCAATGAGTGCATTCCCATATAAAAGAATAAAAAAAATAAAAAAATACAGCTCGGGTGCGCATGGCATCACGTATATATGTGCATACACATGGGTTAAAATATAAAGCAACGACATGCACTATAAGTAGAATAATTATATCTCTAGAATTTCTGGTGGAATGTAGCCCTGCAGGTTTACTATTTTTAAAATGTTTGTGTAATAAGTATTTTCCTGACATTAGCAAAACATTTTCCTCCCTTCAACGTCAGGTTCACTAATGCCACTTTTGGTGCAAGGCTTGTTCTCCCAGTGGGTTTCATCAGCTGTGTGACTTCCTCGGTGTACAATCAACAAAGTAAGGACACAATCATATATATATATATTTATTGTCTGATTGTTTCCTTACTATGTCATAAGACATAAGATTTACATTATATTTATTGTTTGATCGTGTCTTTACTATGTCCTTAATATATATATTATATATATAGATATATATACATTTATTTATATTTTAAAATTTAGTTTTAGTTGTGTTTAATGCCAGCTGAAATTCAAACAGTAGAACTCAAGAAATGGGCCGGCTGTTAAAAATAAAACTGGGCAAATAGTTAGAAAAGGCATTTTTCAACAACTTTTAGTTCTAAAATCTGATGACGCCATTTATGAGGATATAGGTGACCAATAAATTCAATTAAATCACCTCATCTGATATTTTGAATGTAAAGTATAGGCATTGGTTTAAATACTTAAACCAATATTAATCAGCTTCCGAATATATGCAAAAATCTATGAAAACAGGGGAAAAGATAGCTTTCGTCCCAAAAATGTACAGCTATCACACTCCTGCAGCAACATGCAGAATCGTCATTACAGTGTTTTTTATCCATTCATTATTTGTAGCCTCCATCTTAGGACTTCTGAGAAAGACAATCAGTCCACAAATATTCCATAGTATAAATAATAAATAGTGACTTTCAGATGATATTTAGAAGATGCTCCTGTAGCCTTTTGCAACTGTTGGAAGTAGAACTGTTGGAATGTTCTACTCTGTATCTTAGATGGGAACTTTGGTAGATTCTCACCAATAGTTTATCGTTGTTTCCTTGATTGCCTGAAATTTAGAAGGTATAGGTAGTCTTGATAAAGTGTCAGTCATCACAAACCGTGTAGATTGCCATAGCTGTGCTGATTTTGTGAGTTTCTACTCTATGTTGACTGACAGATTTTGAATGAAAATTTCAACAAATTTTTTTTTCATAATAAGCAGTGATGAATGTCCGTGAAAGTTGATATTTATTATGTTGGCTTCTGATAAGCTTTTATCGGCAGTAATTTCATTGATCTGAACCAATAAAAGGCTTATCAAGAGCTGATAACCTACAAATTGTGCATTAGTGAGTGAGTTGCTTAAATGTTTTTCTCCTTAGATATTTTAAGCACTGCTTTGTTACCACTCTAAGTCAGGTTAACTACTAACAGGTTATTTTTTAAATGGTTAATTTACTAATACAACTCCAAATGAAAAAGTTAAATGAAAAAACACTAGTTTCTCTTTTTTTTTCTCGCAGTGTGCCCAATGGAGGAAGTACAAGCCGTGGCCTTTCACATGACATCATAAAAGTCAAAGTTATCACCAGCCACCAAACATCTAGAAAATCATAACATCCTTTCAGGAAAGCTGTGTGGAAAATAATCAGGTTTACTTTGATGAAAGTTTTATTATATAGCCCAGTACTCTGAGCAGTAACTCTTTGTTGGTCTTTACCTGCAGCCACTATTTGATTACCCACTTAAAGCTGCAGGTAGAGACTGGAGAGCGGCTGTTTGACAGGTATTTCCGGTGATGTTGCAAGAAAACTCACTTTCACCAGCTTTTATCAGCAAGTACACAGAACTAGAACACATTAAACCGAATGGGTTACAGAATCTTTCAAATTCTTATGTGGATTCTGTCACTATCTCACTATTGGCTACATGATATAAGCTTCTCAGCCAGAGCAAGAGAGATCCAATTTAATATGTAGCATTGAGGGATTACTTTCCATTTGTTTACTTAACATTGTTTTTTTAGTTGTAAGATCATTTGAGTAGAAAACTTTCCAAAAGGCTGGTCCAGGATTACAGAAAAATCTTAAAAAGAGCAGAGCTTTTTTTAAATAGAAAAATCTCTTGCCATCATCAGCTGCTAATAGGGATAAGATAATGACACATTTGGAGATCTGAATTGTTGTTTCACATAATTATGGAAACATAGCTATTCTCAGTTTGCAAAATGAACCCTTTTATGACTCCTATTAATATGATTGTACAACGCTGCGGAATTTGCTGGTGCTATACAAGTAATAAAATAATAACTATAGTCAATCACGTAGAATTAGAACACATAACAAATCTGTTAAAGTTGCCCAGTCACTTTTTTCTCCCCATGAGTGCTGTACTTTGTGCCCTTAGGCAGCTCAGATTATTTTTCTGTAAAATAAGGTTTGTTTTCAAAGTTATACATAAGGAAAAGTAGGGACTAATTATGAAGAAACCACATGTTGACAAAACAGTGGCGCTTTAGTCAAACTCCGTGTCATTTGTAAAAAAAAAATGTTTCATTGGCTGTCAAATTCTTTCTCATCTTCTTTCGGCGCTGACTTTCAAAAGATCGCATCGGCAAAGGCAATACACACCACCTGACGGGTGAACTGGGCTAGCGTAATATATGAAGTGCACACTACAAACTACAGAAGAGGAGACTTTTAGTGGGGGGCCGTGTATGAAGACCCAGCGGGACTAAATACACCTGCAAAGTCTGAACAGTTAAATGATCATTTTAATTTATCTGTTCATCCTTTGCAGATATATTTCCTTCTATTTTATAAATATTTAGGGTATAAGTAAAGAATATGGTAGCCCTTGCCTTATAATACTTCATGCAGGTTCTGAAATATAATTGTAGAAGCACAAATATAATTTTATAACAATACTTTAGGTGTAATAAGCAAAAACAAAAACAGTCACACATACTACTTATGGTATTGTAATGAATCTGCTGGTATTTTGGGGAATTTGGATTCCCTGGTTAAAGTATCTTAAGTTCCTAGTGTTCTGGGGGAGCATTTAAAAAATAAATGTTTTTCTTTTTATAAAAAGTTGTGAATTTTTTATCTATATAATAAATTATAAAGGTTGGTAAATCCTCCCTGGATCTGCCTTTTAATTAACACTGCTGCATGGTTGCGGGTGAAAGACCCGTCAGAGCAGGTGCTAATGATGATACAATGGCACACTGCTAGATAATGTATGTGTAATTGCCATTGATCACACTGGAAGCTATGGTAATTTACATGCTCAAAATGAAGCTTTGTAAAGCCTGTATGGGTTTGCAATTCTAATTTTATCAGACGCAGTATCTTCAAACTGAATCTGTCCTCTGTGTGACCTGTGCAGAGTTACACCTACAATTACAAAACATGAAACAAAAGAAATTTGAACACCTATCAACAAAATTGTGCAGAAGTAAGTATTGAACATTTTTACCTGTCAAATTTACCATGGCATTCTAAATGTTTAATAATAATATCAAAAATATCCCATATTCCATTGTAGTTTAAAGGGACACTAAAGTCACCAAAACAACTTTAGCTTAAAGGAGCACTATAGTGCCAGGAAAGTACAAATGGTTATTAGGTCCTCCCTTCCCTCGTGGCGCCCCTCCCACTTACCCTTATCCAGCGCCGGGCTCTCTCGGGGCTCGTGACCTCTGCTCCCCTGATGAGGTCAGCTCCTGAGTGGAGCCGAATGAGCATGCACGGCCAGAGCCACGCGTGCATTTAAACCGCCCATTGGAAAGCATTACTCAATACTTTCCTATGGGCATCTGAACTCAAGATGTGTGAGTTCGATGCGATTTTTGCATCGAGGATCGCGGTCCTTTAATTAAGTAGTGTTTGTGTATACATCATGCATCTGAAGTTTCACTGTTCAATTCTCTGCTATTTAGGAGTTTAATTACTTTTGTTTCTGTTTTTGCAGCCCAAGCCACACCTGCCCTGGCTGTGACTGACACAGAGTGCATGAAAACAAAATAGTTCCATTTTCAATCAGATGTAACTTACTTTAAACGTTTTTATCTCCTGCTCTGTAAATTAAACTTTAATTACACACAGGAGGATCCTGTAGGGTCTAACAAGCTATTAAAGCCATTAACAGAGCAGGAGATAAGAGATTCTAAATTAAACAGAATTTGCAATAAAGTGCAGACATTAGATGACTCTTTACATGAGGTGTTTAGGAAGGCTGTGAAAGTCACATGCAAGGAGGTGTGGCTAGGGCTGTATAAACAAAGTGAAAATTTCTAAATGGCAGATAATTGAGCAGTGAGTCTGCAGGGACATTATCTATACACCATAACTGCTTCATTAAGCTAAAGCTGTTTTGGTGACTATAATGTCCTTTAAATGTTGTAACAATGTATTTTATGTTCGTGTGATACACACTACTATAATCTGCTTGTGTCTCTAAGATGATAAACGAATCTTTATACATTAAGCTACTTCCCGAAACTCCAGGAACTGGTTGGACAGTCCTAATTTGGGACACAACTTTTTTGGGCAGCACAATTTCCTTTACCTAGCGTGCCCAACAGTTGCAGAGTCATAAGTGATGCACAAGGCATTGCTAGTCCGCCTGTGTCCTGCAGTCATACAATTAAATGTTGGGAGGTACACAAATCACTCACTGTTTCTTTTTATTTTACTCCTTTTTATTTTTAGTGTCCTACACTAACTATTTGGCATCCCAGAGAAAATCAACTGAAAGTTTAATGCATGATAAAGCATGCATAATTGATAATTGCTGGGCATTTCTGCCAATGTATTTGAGCCATATATGTGGAGTTTGCAATGTTCTGTGGCAGCTCTCTTGTAGAACATATCCCATTGTTAGCGGCATCTACTGCTATAGGCAGCAAAGATGATTGGCCAAACCTGTAAGATGAATTAGGAATGTTTACTCTTGGTTCACATTCAAGAGCATGCAGTTATATTGGTCTAAACAAAGAGTTATGTCAATTTACATTCACTTAATGAGAAAATGTCCCATTCATCTTTAGAAAAAGAAATGATCAAAATAGAATATTATTAAAAAAAATTCTGAGAAGGGTTTGGGTATTCAAAATATCTTATCAGTATGAGTGTTAGATTTGTAGAGTAGTTGGAACAGCACCTTATAAAAACTATGGGTATTATTAGCAAATGGAACTATTTTAAAAGAAACACTATATGCACTTAAGGTACAAGAGTGCATTGTGCTGAATTTTTTTTAATGATGCTTGATGCGTGGGTGTGGAAAAAATAAAAAACTGCTTTGCAGTTTCAATAGAATAGAAAAAAGTATAAAATGTCCCAAGCATTTCCAAAAGTGTATACAAGTCCATACACATATTCCTGGTGCTGGTAGGAATCATTGCAGGAGAAGCAGCTATTCTAAAACCAGATATTAAGGAGAATCGTTTTATTTAATAATGTATTTTAGATGTATTATGTCCATGTTGACTCAAAAAGGAGTCTCAACTGCATCATGCAGCGTTACTTTAAGAATAAGAAGATTGGCTGAGTATAATCTGGCATTGAGTCCTAACCAACAATACTATAATCATGCTATATAGTGCTGTCTATCTGCTAAAACTCGTTCATTTTATAATGAAAGAATCTTAAAACTATTAGTCTAACATGAACAAGGAGAGCATTTGAGTATAACACAAAATTAATAGCTACACGGCCAAGTTAATTAAACAAACATCTGTTTTAAAACAATTTATAGATCCCTAGCGTGGCCCCAAATCCCTCTGTCCCTCTTTTCTATCCTAATGTCCCTTTTGTAGGATCTCAGTATTTTTGCTTTGCTTACATTTATACCAGACATTCAGAGCAAAAATAATCCCTGTAATGTGTCTTTAAACTACAATGAATGTGTTTAGAAATCAGTCTGTAAATCAGATACATTGTTCTTATTATAAATTACATTTTAGTTGCACAAATTGCTATTAGTAAGTCATCTAAAACTTCTCAGAACAGCCCAGCTCCTGGTCAGACCCACACCCCTACTATTAAATGTCCTTCTTTGTCCATTGAGATGTTGGGAGGAATGCAACTGGAAATGGCTTTGCAGTGATTATGGGCCAATATGATTTTATTTGTACTCTATTAATTGGAGTGATAACAGCAGAACCATTAATTGTAATTATGGGAAACAGTCAGTTTGTTGGCCACGAATACTCATGTACTTGTAAACAGAGTTTAAAACCTGGACACATTCCCTTCTGCAATGTTCCACTTACCCACTGAAATTTAATTTTCTAGCTGCAATGAAACTCGGCTGCCTCTGGGGCATACACATGTTCATATAATTTGAAGGTTTCTCAATATCAGAAGAGGATTGCACTTACTTGTTTAATTTTCACACTTTTACAAAGAAGGACCGTTGCCAATGCTTTATAAACTATCCGTAACTGTTTTCTTTTACTCCTTTGTATATAAGTTTTGTGTATCTCCAACACAGAAAAAATCCCTACACATTTTCAATTAGTTAATTCTGTGGATAGACATATTTTAAGATTGTGGCATTCAAAGTATATGAAAATCACTCATTTTGGTTCATTGCGAGCCACAAAAACCTTTTCACTACTTGTTGCAAAAAATCAGTTTGAAAAGCTATAGGACAAGGCCATATTA